TCCAACGCGACCCCTCTGATTAACAATAGCAGTAAGCTCCTTTGCGTCGTCTTTGTGAAAGAATCGAAAATTCTTTTCGTTGCCGCAAATCATTTTTTAAACGACGATCGATCGAGCGAACAAAGAGGGTCGCGTAAGGAACGTTAGTATTATCTAACAATAAGAGGAGGATGAAAACAGGCTAGGCGCGTCGATGAGACTAGGTTACGCGAATTGAATCACGATTAACCCGATGATTTTCATATCATACCAGGTGACGCGACGTACTCGCACGTACGTCCCATATATGGATCAGCCTTGAAAACCGATCTTGTCCAGCTAAATTAGATTAGAAGATTAGAACAACCCCATTCTGGAACAACAACAACCCCTGCTTTTTATACCTTCGATGCCTTACCGATCAATTACCGATCAATTACCGATCAATTACCGATCTATGGGTCATGCCTTCACCTTGACTTCATTTCCATTGGACGCGTTATGTATCTGACCTTCGTCGCTTCTTTCGTCTTTTCGCAACCGCCTTCCTTTTCCCTCCAGCAGGCTCGATTTTCGTCTTACATAATAATTCCGTGCTGTTCGATAAGAATTAGAATCGCCAACAGTTGACAGAGAAGACAAAATAACACGTAACAGTATAGGAAGGGTTGAAAAGCTTATTTTTGTAGGAATAACGTCTGATCGTCAACAAGTAGTAATAGGTACCTATCTAGTATACGTGGATATACAAGATTTTGTTTTTCATCCATCAGTTATACAACAGCGTGTTCTTTTGCAACCTGTTCATCGAGCAAATATGTTTTTGCCTTGGTTTTTCTATCTCGTGCGGAAAAAACAATGATTTTACATCCGTCTACTATTATCTTGCTAAATGAAACCGTTTACGATTAACGACGAGAGGTGTACTTTGACTCTGGCCAACTTCGATGGCCTTCGACCAAACGGAGTTGCTCGATCAACAATCAACGGAGAAGAGACAAGCGACGTCACCTGTTTCACGTCGAACGACGTGGAACAGCGAAAACTTGTCTCGTTAAATAGATACTATGGATGTCATTGGTGATCGACGAAAAGAAAAGAAAATTTTAAAACAACCAGTGGAACATTGAAATTTTAATGGAAAAATTCTTCTTTTTTTTATTTTAAGTAAAATAGAATCCACACGCGATAGAATAATAAATGAAGAAAGAACTGGAGAAACGGTAGCGTTTGATGACTCGATAGATCAATTAATAAATCATGATGTATCGCGAAAGAATCTGGCAGTGGATACAATAGCAGGTCGTTAGATCGAAAGATCTCACAATTATGGGAACAGTTGTACTTTAGAACGTGACTACTTGTCGATTCGATCAACTTGATTATGATTCATGCAGCTCATAATAATTCGAAATAATTCGTAATAATCCTCGAGATGATTTTATTTAGATTCTGTGTCGCTTTTGGATATGTATTATCGTGGTTAACGAAACAGCCAAGATCTTATTGTTTTCTTTATTTGAAACGCGAGGAAAATCTTTAAAGTTCTGTTTTCAATCATTCTAACGAGGTTGATTCGTAAAAGAATGGACAGTACTGTCATGAAGAAAATTGAGAGAGAAAGCAGAGGAGAGCTCCGTAGCAAGTAAAAGTTAATAATGTTGTAAGAATGGGTAAAGAAGCGAGAGTGGGAAGGAAGAGTACGCGTTGATTTCACTTCGGTTATTAATCGCAAAGAAAAAAGATATTTTTTTTGTATTATCTGTAGCACGACTGCATAACCATTTCATGGCGACGACACGATGACGACTTTTAACTTACCTCTCCTGCAACTGGCTGACACACTTGTTAAAACTGCTGGATTAAGCATTACTTTTTCGCGACTCAACGCTCAGTTGATTGTGAGTGAAACGATGCGGTATTCTGTTTAAGGAAACTCGACCACTTTCATCGCTTTATCGTGCAAATTCGTTGAACCTTTTAACCAGAAATTTTTAATATTAAAAACAAAGTATCGTATTAGATTACTAAAAGTATCGCTTATTTCTATTGATTAAGAATCGAGAAACGAGACGTTAAGCAGTTAAGCACGTTGCAAAAAAGCAGTGACGAGGCCAGATAATGGTCTTTGTGTTTCTATGGCTTTACGCTCGTTACGTGCGACGTATGGTCGGTGGTTAATGTTATTATTCGAATGCAGCCCACCAGAGCGATGCATTTAATTATCGATACCTATACATCGTTAAAGTCGTCGGCAAACTTTTTCAAAGGACCATGAAACCAAAACCAAAACGTAACCCATAAACGTACTTCGTCTGGACGTTGTGCGTTCGAAGAAAAGGAAGAAAGAAGCCTTTAAAAATGTGCACTCTTCCTTTGTTAAGTTTCTGGAAATTCAAATAAAATCATGGCGAAGAAATTTCAAAATAGAGAAGAATTATTACATTTCGAAGAACGAAATTTACTTTAGAATCTTCCTTAATTTAGCTATCTCGTTATTGTTAATGACTCACCGGGCAGCACTCCTTGTTTAAACAGTGACGCTTTTAGGGTGATTGCTGGATGAAATTAGAAATAATTCATTAGGCTTTCACAGCGTGTCTATACGTACATTTGTTTCTGACTTAATTAAGGTTAATTTGATGATTGATCGATCGAATTCACAAGTCTCTGAAGGGTGTTACGTTGCCTTGCCAGAGAAAATTGAAAGACGGCCTTCTAGTAAGCGAAATTCTACAATGCGTGACAGTGTAAAGTGTAAAGGGTGAGATCATTTGTTACGTTCGAAGAGAAATGTGAACAGAGAAAGAGTGAAAAGAGGAACAACGAGGAAACTTGTCCACGTAATAATCATTTTTTCATTTTTTCATTTCTTTTTATTAAGACCGATTGGATCATCGTGTGGTGCATGACGATGCGCGATTTCCAATGCAATTATGAAACAACCGGTAATACCATTGCAAATAGTGCTGTAATAGAATACCATTGATTAGCAAACACTTTGGATGTTAGAATAAACAGTAATTAATAATCCATGTTTTACCCCACAGAACGATTGTCAAGTGAAAAGAAAAAATAAGATGGAAACTTGTTATTATAGGGTGTTGGGGATCGAGAAAAGGTCTTTTTCCGTAGTTGATAGATTCAGTGGAAGACGTTTTCTGAGAAAGCTTTGACGAAAAAACGGGAGGAGAGGAGAATTCGAGTGTCTCGACCATGGCCCAGTAAACGAAGACTCACGTGTGGCTGGGCCTTTCCACACGCGTCCTCGCGATCGTGCGTCGTTCGTCGTCCTCTGGAATGCCGACTTGCGTAATTACACGAGACTTGCCCCAGCCTGAGACATCTCTCTCACCTTCGATTTTCGAATACTAAGCTTGGTTGCGTACGATCGTCAGACATTGACTAACCCAATATATGATTTCTTGAAAACGTCTTGCAAATCTTTCGAATACTTTTCATGATTACTGAAAATTGAATAACACAAGTTCAGACACTGTGTTATTCGCATGAAATTGAAATTGAAATTGAAATTCTGTCGTTACGGTTGTTAAAGTTCATTATGTTTGTTCGAGGATATACAGAATGTCTCTGTCACTTTGGAACGACGACGTTGTAATACGAGTAAGTAATATTGACGGTAAATTAGTTGGAACTGTTGTGTCCGACCATCGCGGCTATTATCTACTTACGCGTCTGACTAGCGAACACCGTTTACCCACGTCACTGTCGACTACCAGTTCGCCGCTATTCGACGGAGTTTTTTGCGTTACCTTATGCATTTCATATTAAATAGCTAATTGAGAAATGAAATTGAAAAGCACCTATTCTACAAATGATATTTCAAATCCGTAAGAAGCTGACGTTTAAAAAAGTTTTGCTAAAGAATGTTGGAGGCATTAGAATATCAGGTTGGAGAAGTCGTAAATTTGTACGAATCCCCTTTCTATTTGACTGGGGTGTACTGCAGGCACACGTGTCCCCTTCCGTTTCTATCGAATTCCTAACTTGCTGTTAATTATCGCACCGCAGCTTCGATACGAGTGCGTTATTTGCCATTCACTCGTTCACATGCAAAATCCTAACTACTTTCTTGATTGACCGTAGCTTCTCGGGAGGATATTCGTCGGATTCAAAGTTCAGTGAAAAAAAGAAAAAAAGAAAAAAAGGAAAATTTTCATACGAGCACGTGTTTTGAAAGGAGATGGTCGATTAATCGGCAGATGAGAAACGTCTTCGCAGTCGTTGCTTTCTTCTGCTATCTAGCAGAAAAGAACAAGTTACGAAACGATTTGTTGGCTTTTCCGTGTACGACGCGTACCGTCGAAGAAAGCAAACGTTGTTTCTACATATTATAATCGATTCGATGTCTCGACAAGCAGACTTTTTGTCGAGATTTTGCCAGGATCACGATGATATCGCGTTACACAACACTTTCGCAGCTGCCTAGCCGATGCCGCTACTAAATAGTTAGTTTACCATTTCTGGCTCCAACGATTCTCTGCTGAATAATAGTATGATTATAGAACGGGTAATTGGGTACTTTGTAACAATTTTATTAATATAAATTTATAACACACCAGATCGATTGATATATCGATCAACGTTTTTCCGATGTGTAAAAAATCTTTGAACCGAGCACCGAGCACATTGCGATGGTAAGAACGGGTTACTTTTCGCCGAATGCCGAGCTCGTTGCCCAATGAAGAACCGCGCGCCTGAGCGAAAAGAAAGCCGCTATCTTACATAACTCTCAGCACACGTTCGCTCTTTCTGAGTCCAAGTCCGGACCAAGTCCGTTCAGACGTTTCGCGAATGCTTCGCAAGGTTTCAATTTTACGTGGATGTACATACATTCAATATGTTCTCGGTATGGGAATTCAGAGAGGCAGAGGTGATCGCAAAAGCCAACAAACCGACCTTTCATCTGCTTTGCTCGATTAGTGTACTTTTGCGTCACGACTGTTCCAAAGAAAACCGCTTTAATAGGTTTTACTGACGCGTTCGAGTTTTTTGTCTAGTGACGGGACAGCAGGAGGTGGTGTTCTGGGGAACACAGACACTCTAGGAAACATGCAGAATAACGGAGATAGTACCCTGGACATGACGATGACGATGACGAGCAGCACGGTATTGGCAACTCCAGGGTTGAACAACCCTGCGTGGAATCGTCAACAGGCGGTCAGCGTCAGACACGCGTTCAAAACTTACGGCAGTAGCAAAAATCCGAATCATGTCATCCAAAATCTCAGCATGACGGTCGCCAAAGGATCCATGTAAGTATTAAGAAAATTAATATTTTTCTCCTTGAAAAATAGAATCTATGAAATACGTAGGAACGATTAATTGTTTTCTTTGATCAGTTACGTGTCGATCTCTTTCCTGGACTGGGTGAAAGTGTTTCCTAAGGATCGCTTGTCATTCTGATAGGGGAAAAGGAATCCAACTTCCATCGCGAAGGGATCGAATCGATACTTAAAATTAAACCATCTTCTCGACGCGAGTCGAAATTCAAAGTTCAAAGTCCGTTTCTTGTTGAAATTAGATACGGTCTTCTTGGAGCTAGCGGATGCGGTAAAACCACCTTACTCTCTTGCATCGTCGGTCGGAGGAGATTAAATTCAGGCGAGATCTGGGTGCTCGGTGGTAAACCAGGCACCAAAGGATCCGGAGTTCCTGGAAAAAGGGTTGGTTACATGCCACAGGAAATAGCCCTTTACGGAGAATTCACCATTCGAGAGACTATGATGTACTTTGGCTGGATATTTGGCATGTGCACCACAGAAATCGCGGATAGACTACGATTTCTCTTGCAATTCCTCGATCTGCCCTCTCAGAATCGACTGGTGAAGAATCTTAGGTTGGTTCAATGCGGTAACTAACCCCTTCGAAATCGTTTGCTAACTCGAAATCGAATTCTTTTTCTCGCGACGATCATCATAGCGGTGGCCAGCAGCGACGAGTGTCCTTCGCGGTTGCCTTGATGCACGACCCTGAACTCTTGATCCTCGACGAACCGACGGTAGGCGTGGATCCTCTGCTTCGACAAAGGTGAGTGAACAAGTTTAGTTTCTTACAATTAGAGACTAGCAAAATTCAACTTAAGATAAAACGAAATAGCGCGTAACAGAATGATTAAATATTGAACGATGGATGATATTTGAAGTGAAAGTGCCGTCGTTTGCCGTTTGCTCGAGCAAACTGACCGAGTAATGGTGAGAGAAAAATTGAAAATAAAGGTGATTGAACACGAGGCGAACTAAACTTGTTAAACTCTAAACTCTAAACTCTAAACCGATGAACCGTCTTTCATTTTTTTTCCGTGAAAGGACGAACGACAACAAAGAGGAATCCTAATTAACTGTTGCTTGAAAATCTGCTGCTCGATTATGCTAGAATATTCTCTAGTTTTATGATCAAGCATACTAAGTAGCAGTGCTCGTGTTCCATGCTAGTTTCTTGAAATTCAAGTTCCTGCGAATAACGAGAGCCAGCAAGTAAATTCATCGCTTCCGCACTTAGATCCCTAACTTTCTCGTAAAAACATTTCCGTTCAGTGTCGGATGTGGGCATGATTATTCGTCGAGTGAAAAGAATCCCTAAGCAATGCCTATCTATATTTTAATGCAGGACAACCTGTAAAATTTTTACAGGTAAAAAGAAAATTTAGGAGAAAGGTTGTTAATGTTAATTTTAATTTTATTGATTTCCCACTTGTTTCCGTTTTAGTATCTGGAATCACTTGGTGCAAATAACGAAGGATGGTAACAAAACGGTGATCATAACGACCCATTATATCGAGGAAGCCCGACAGGCACACACGGTACGTCGAACTTACGCAATGCAAAAATTATTCGGGGCACAATGTCGATGCACACGTGGGAATACAAATGGCAATGCAACGGAGTACCTCTCCCAAATGATTATTACAATAATAAATCGCAATATGAAAATTGTGCAATCGTATCGTTAACATTATAATACTTGATAGGAGGTGGTAGTAGTAGATAGTACACGGTAGCAAGGTTGCGGAGGAAACGAACCTTACGATGTTACGAAAATGATACTTGATAAGATGAGACGAAACAAAAGAAATAAGTTGTTTCTAATTTGTAGATCGGTTTGATGAGGAGCGGTCGTTTGTTAGCCGAGGAATCTCCCAGGGCTCTCCTAACGATGTACAACTGCGCCTCCCTCGAAGAGGTCTTCTTAAAATTATCCCGGATACAGGGACAATATGCTCAACCAACAACGGAATTGAATATTTCGAATAACATTAGTTTGGTAAGAAACAGTTTGTTCGCTTCGCATCGCATCGCATCGCGTTCGATCAGGATAGCTTTGAAATGTCAATTAAAAAATAAAATAGGCTTCCTTGAATTGGGGCAAGAAGAACGAACCGGTGTACGTGACAGAAGAGTCGGGTGTGGTGGGACTGAATTTCCATCAGAGCAAAGAAGTTCTCATCCACGATTCTACGAACGGGATTGGAAATCACTACGATGTAAGAAGACCTTACTTTATGTTACTTGACAATTTTATTTCAAAGCTTGTTGCATTACCTTAACATTTTTTCACCGAAGCAGATGAACGGAAAACCCTTATCGAGTGTCAAGAGTTCTTCGATGTTGGATTGCAACGATTGCAGTAACTTTACAGATTTCTACAAGTTTACGAACAAAGGTAAAATGAAAGCGCTTTTACAGAAGAATTTCTTACGTATGTGGAGAAACGTAGGGTAAGTAGTTTTTTTTGTCTGATCGTGAAGAATATAGTAAGTGGTTAGGTTACCGTACCACTTTGTCTATTATTTAAATTATTATTTAAAGGGTAATGCTGTTTATCTTCGCACTGCCAGTAATGCAAGTGATCCTCTTCTGTCTGGCGATCGGTAGAGATCCAACGGGCTTAAAATTAGCGATAGTTAATCACGAAATGTTTTACGAAAATATGACCTGTCCGATATCGGAGGGCTGCAAATTTCAACAATTGAGTTGCCGTTATTTGAAATTCTTGGACAACGATACAATGACAAAGGTAAGTTAACTCGATCGGTTAATCTTCAGAAGTAGAGGGGTACGTGTAATCTATGTACGTGATATACCTATAGGAGTATTACAAGAATCTGGAGACCGCTAAGGACGCGGTGCGCGATGGAAACGCTTGGGGAACATTGTATTTCACTGAAAACTTCACGGATGCTCTTGTCGCCAGGATGGCGTTAGGAAGAGACGCTGACGAGGAAACGTTGGATCAGAGCGAGATCAGAGTGTGGTTAGACATGTCCAGTAAGTTGTTTATACACTGTATGTAGGTACATACATACACCACGTACATGTACTGATTCTGGTTATTATAGATCAACAAATAGGTCTGATGTTAGCCAGGAATCTTCAGTATTCGTACAGAGATTTTGCCAAAGATCTTTTATCAGCCTGCGACCAGAACACTAAACTAGCCGACGTACCGATACAGTTTAAGGATCCGATTTACGGCACCAGCGAACCCAGTTTCACCGACTTTGTTGCGCCAGGTGTAATATTGACGTAAGCGATACACGAATTTCTCGTTAACAGATATACCGAGCAAAACGAAATAGCAAATTATTCGTTTCGTTTCGTTTCTTTTCTTTCACAGAATTGTCTTCTTCCTGGCAGTGGCCCTGACTTCGTCAGTTTTGATCATCGAGAGGATGGAGGGTCTGCTGGACAGAAGTTGGGTAGCTGGTGTTACACCAGGAGAGATTCTCTTGTCGCATGTGATCACTCAGTTTGTAGTGATGTGTGGTCAGACTGCATTGGTGCTTATTTTCATGATTCTGGTCTTTAATGTCGAGTGTAAAGGAGACATCGGTTGGGTGATCGTATTGACGATACTTCAGGGTCTTTGCGGCATGTGCTTCGGTAAGATTATACGGTTAAGTATAAACAGTTCTTTGCTACTGTTGCACAAATAAAAGTAACCTTTATGAAATATTCTACACGAGTCTAGCTAAAACTGGACTCTCACAATCAGTTACCTAACTATTTTTTTTCTTTTTTATCGGTCTCTTTATAGTATTACGATTTTTTATACGCGCGTTAAGAGGTAATAAGAAACATCGTTCTTTCGGGATGAACCGATGATCAGGTGATTTGCTGATATTTTCATTCATATTTATGGATTTATTTTTGTCTTTTCAGGGTTTGTAATTTCTGCGATTTGCGAACTTGAAAGGAATGCAATACAACTGGCTCTGGGCAGTTTCTATCCTACATTGCTGTTGAGCGGTAAGTTATATAAGTCACGAAAAAGTAACACGAAGATTAGCGTGTTTGGGAATACCGTTTACCAATCGCGTCGCGTCGGGCTGAAAAATATTTCCATAATAAATTCTGTCATCCGTGAATCAGAGAAATACCAGGCGATAATCGTGACGATTAAACGTCGAACAGTAAAAGTGAAAGTTTCAGTTATTCCTTAATTATACAATGTACCTATATACAAGAAATGTAGGGTGAAGAAATATTTAATTGGAAATTTCAGGCGTGATTTGGCCAGTAGAGGGTATGCCTACGTTCCTACGTTACATATCTCAGTGTTTACCGTTGACGATGGCCACGACGTCGCTACGTTCCATGTTGACTCGGGGCTGGAGCATCACGGAACCGGATGTATACAACGGCTTCATATCTACGATCGTTTGGATAGTCGCCTTCCTCACGATAAGCATAATGGTGCTCAAGTTCAAGCGTGGATAAAAATTTAACTGTGCTTGTTCGGTTGGTGAGTTAGAAAAATCGTCGTCGCGACGCGAGATAGAAAGAAAAATCAAGGTAAACGCGTTGCTTCGACTCGAACTGTATCACATATCGTATCGATTGGCCATCTGTGGAAATTCATCCGGTTAATTTCCCCAAGGACGATCTCGTTGTTACGCCATCCGTGCGTGCACCTCCACATGTGATGCTTTTTGTGCGCTTAGCTTAGCTTAGCTTAGCTTACAATGTTAGTGTGTCCTTTACGATTAGTGTGTAAAAAGAGAAACGCGAATGATTGTGCGTGCCTGAAACGTGTCTGATTCTTAGGAATTCCTTTACCTTTTTCTTTTTCTTTTTCTTTTTCTTTTTCTTTTTCTGTACTTCTTCTTTGTCTGTAATATAACTTTTATCTACGGGACGCATCTTTTTTTACCACGGATAGTTTCTGCAGAAATTATTCATCGTTTCGTTCGAGTTTCTTTTAATCGAAAGAAAGAACTAAGACGAATCGTAGTTTAATTGGGTTGGCAGTGTGTCCTGGTAAATTGATGCCCCGAATGTAAATGGGATTGCGAGTAATAAGTTGATAAGTTAACGAGTAGTTGATTAGATATAGGACGGTCTTACTTGCCCATGACTTAAATGTACGTTTTATTTAAATCTTAACGATCGAAAAAAGAAAGATTACTCGTTTAAAGAAAAACGAAGTGAACTGGTATATTACATAAAGGGAAATTGTAAAATAATCTGGAAATTTTATAATCCGGAAACCGAATCGATTATCGAGTGAATATTGTTAAAAATATTAATAGATATTGCACACTAGCGTGTGCAATATGGTTTTTAGAGCAAGATAAATATGTATGATATTGTAGTATACGAAGAATTACATTTTACACGATATGTATTCTCTATTATTTACGTTCGAGAAATTTCAATGTACGATATTTGTTACTTTGTCTTTTCATTCGAATCTCACTGCCTTGACAAAATTCTATCAAGGATGTAACCGAAAGGGTATAAAAGAGAAAAGGAAAAGCAAAAACAATGTACATTTTCGTTTTCTTTAATTTTCCATATAAAAATGTTTATAAAAGATAGAAAATATATGAATCTTATCCTATCACTTTCCTCAGCTTCAACTACTTGTTCGATCGCATAAGCAAAACACACTCGTTAACACAAATTAGATTCAATTTATCTTACTTGATCAACGTCAATTTGTATTCTTCTTCTTCGGCGAACCATTCGCGATTGTCCTCGATCAGTCGCTTCCAATACTCTGAAAGAAAATTAAAATGATAGAATGCCCCTTTACCCCTTGCATAGTCCCGTACAAACAAACATAATTCAATGTACCGCTTAATTCTTTGATTGTATCGCTCGTACCACCGTATTCCTTTGGTAAAATACTAATTGGCAAGCTTTCGTACAATTTTAGTTTACCACGAGAATGAACGTGTATTCTTTCTTTCAATTTCGAGTTCATAAAGCCTCTGAAAATATTCAGCACCGCGTTCACAAATCTGTGAGCATTGATAAAGTTCAACGAGTGAATTCTAACAGGATAGCAACCCTGCCATGCGTGAACTAGATTCTTAATCACGCTCGGAGGTAATTGAAGAACATGCTCGTATGTAAAATCACCTAGGTCCAAGATAGCTGTTATACCATGAATCGTTACTGGTTCATGATCTCGTAACGCTAAATCCAGAGCCATCAATGATGCCTAACACGACAAAAGAATATAAATAATCTTATCTATTCAATATACGCGTACACATATTTCATGCTTTCGAGTCAAATGTTCGTGGACGGGATTATACCTGGATGATCGATGACTATGACTAGAATTACAAGAATTGATTATTTCTTTCTTTCTTTCATTCATGCATTTTAATTAATATCTATCATTCTGTTTGTGACAACTATCAAAAACAATTTCATGTTTTTCGAACCTTCAACATGTCTGACATTTTGTGTCTACTGGGAGTGTGCGCAGCTGCGCGTATTATTACCACCATCCTTCCCTCGTTATCCAATTTCTTTAAAGGTAAAAATACCCTAAAAAGTAAAAAGATTTTTCATCAAAACTATACAACTTTTGTTCAAGTAACAAAGTTAGTCTTTGTGATTCTAAAATAAACATTCTAATTGACTCGTCAAATCGTAACTTCGTTGCTTTTAAGTTAAGGCTTATCGGACGCTGATACGGTATATCAACGTTGAAACGTTTTCTTATTTTCTTGGAATACTAGCGAATCCAAACGTGATAACTAAATTATCAAGTATCGTTATATTTCTTTCATTCATCATTATTTGCAAATGGAATGCACATTTTATTTCTATTGTTGCTAAGAAAGAAAAGAAAATTAATATAAATCGAATACGTTACCCAAGATAAAAGAGTTCCTGCAATTCTGGTAGAAATGGATTTCTGTTGCTGTACCATTCTGGCAGGTTTGTTCTCTGCTTGTAATAGTTGCGCAACTTGCATTTCGTTTTTTCACTGTTAAATTTACATGCTCTTAAAAAACGCAGGATTGAAAAATCATCTGTAACAAGTGAAAAGAAAGAAAGAGGGTTCTAGTTTCGCGGAGAAACTTCAGTCACGTTCAAAATCAACCAGTTATAAAATGTGTACCAGTAGGTGCGTGTAGACCATCGGTATCCATGATCCATTGTCTTATTTCCGCGACCTTGATTGGTCTGATTTCGTCAGTTTCGTTCAAATATTCCGCCATATATGCTTTCTCCTCTGCCGAAACTTGACATACATATTCTTTCAATGCCGACATTGTGTGATAAACTTTCCGTTTCTTATCACTTGTCATTCGTGAAACAAAGCAACAATTTAATTCTTATCTATATCTTTTTTCACATTTGAAAAAACTGCACTGGGTTATTATGTATTTACAATTGAGGCGAACATGACAGAAACAGAAACTCATACTTCACGACCCAGCGACTGGGAACGACAGTGCTCTCGTAACCGTGCTCTCTTGAATGTTTCGCAGTGAAGCCTTTGATTACCCCACGGCACGTCACGTCCCACACGTCCCTATACATCTTATTTTTCTTACATATATGCATATTTTAGCTGCGCTAAAATGGTGTGTAAGGGGTGTCAGGGACCCCGATGCATCAGTAGCGCTCTCTGTATACCGACATAATATTTTGGGGTGTCAAGGACCCCGATCCACCAGTAGCGCTCACTCTATACCGACATGATATCTTGGGCTGTCAGGGACCCCGAAGCAGCGACGACATTCTGCATACCGACAATATGGTATCCGGGGTGTCAAGGAGAGATACTCACTGCATACTTCCCCCTAGCTACATGTGGGTAGCTAAAGGCATACATATACCCTTATTTTATTCCCTGCGTTCATTTAATTTGCTGTAATTACCTTCTTAGCTTATTGAATAAACTCCTTAGAAGGACGAACGCTTCGACTTTATTACTTCCGTCTGCACCCTTATATCACTACATTCCTTACATCCCAGCAACCCTTACATCTCAGTATTCCTAACATCTCTGCATTCCTTTCATACGTACATTCCTTTCATACGTACATTCCTTTCATCGCTACATTCTTTTCATCCCTACATTCCTTTCATCGCTACATTCCTTTCATCGCTACATTCTTTTCATCCCTACATTCTTTACATCCCAACATTCCTTTCATACGTACTTTCTTTTCATCCCCACATTCCTTTCATCGCTACATTCTTTTCATCCCTACATTGCTTTCATCGCTACATTCTTTTCATCCCTACATTCCTTACATCTCTGCATCCCTTATAATAAATATATTATAAAGACTGCTTCGAGTGAAGGTAAGTAAAGGTAAGTTAGTTCCTTTTTCCGCCACCAGGGGGCGCTGATTCGACGTCGACATTTTAGTTCACATTTTTGCCGCCAGAGGGCCAAAAATGGTGCCTGGTTTAGTTCCTTTTTTCGAAACCAGATGGCGCTGATTCGACATCGAGATTTTAGTTCACATTTTTGCCGCCAGAGGGCCAAAAATGGTGCAAGGTTTAGTTCCTTTTTCCGAAACCAGATGGCGCTGATTCGACATCGAGATTTTAGTTCACATTTTTGCCGCCAGAGGGCCAAAAATGGTGCCTGGTTTAATTCCTTATTCCGAAACCAGATGGCGCTGATTCGACGTCGAGATTTTAGTTCACATTTTTGCCGCCAGAGGGCCAAAAATGGTGCAAGGTTTAGTTCCTTTTTCCGAAACCAGATGGCGCTGATTCGACATCGAGATTTTAGTTCACATTTTTGCCGCCAGAGGGCCAAAAATGGTGCATGGTTTAGTTCCGTTTTCCGAAACCAGATGGCGCTGATTCGACGTCGAGATTTTAGTTCAGATTCTTACCGCTAGGGGGCGCTGTTTTTTCGAAATTTTCGCGAACTAACTTACCTTTACTTACCTTTACTCGAAACAGTCTTTATTATATATTTATTATAAGGGATGCAGAGATATAAGGAATGTAGGGATGAAAAGAATGTAGGGTTGGAAGGAATGGAGGGTTGGAAGGAATGGAGGGGTGGATAGAATGTAGGGATGATAAGAATGTAGGGATTTAAGGGATGAAGGGATATAAGGAATGTAGGGATGAAAAGAATGTAGGGTTGGAAGGAATGGAGGGGTGGATAGAATGTAGGGTTGGAAGGAATGTAGGAATGGAAAGAATGTAGGGATGAAAGGAATATAGGGATGATAAGAATGTAGGGATGAAAAGAATGTAGGGTTGGAAGGAATGGAGGGGTGGATAGAATGTAGGGATGATAAGAATGTAGGGATTTAAGGGATGAAGGGATATAAGGAATGTAGGGATGAAAAGAATGTAGGGTTGGAAGGAATGGAGGGGTGGATAGAATGTAGGGATGATAAGAATGTAGGGATTTAAGGGATGAAGGGATATAAGGAATGTAGGGATGTAAGGTATGAAGCGATGTATGGAATGTAGGGATGATACGGATTTACGGCATAAAAAGAATGTAGGGATGAAAGGAATGTAGGCATGAATAGAGTGCAGGGATGTAAGAAATGCAGCGATGTAACGGAACGAGGGATGTAAAGGAATTCCGCGGGGTCCGGGGCTGGGGCCCCGGGCTCCACTGCACGCGGCCCGGAGAGTGCCGGCATCGGGTGTGGCCCCCGATTTCGGCGGAATTTGGCACATGACGGAGGGTCAAACGACCCTCCCTGCCACCCTAGTGCATGCCACCGTGGTGGTTTTAGTGGGTAAAAATCCCACACTACCTCCGGCCCCTCCCCAGGGGGGCTGAAGGTGTCTTTCTGAAGATTTCCACCACGTTAAAATAAAAAAAAAAAAAAAAAATGGGTATTTCAGGGTTACAAGAATGTAAGGAATGCTGTGATGGAAGGAATGCTGCGATGGAAGGAATGATGCGATGGTAGGAATGCTGCGATCGAAGGAATGCAGGGATGTAATAGCTACTGAGATGGCCTTGGCCTATAATGAGGGATAAAATTATATAAATAACTGGAAAAGTAAAGCTACAGAAGAGGGATATAATCATAAATATTATCCGCTTTGATGAGCTTATTTAATAAGCAAAAAACAATAAATGAAGTCAATTAAATAAACTCCGGAAAAAACTTATACTGGTTGTGCCCTCTTCATACGGTCCTGATATTATCCGGGGTGTCAGGGACCCCGAAGCACCAATGACTCTCTTTGCATACCGACCTTATGGTATCTGGGGTTTCGGAGACCCCAAGGCACCAATGACTCTCTTTACATACCGACAGTATGGTATCTGGGGTTTCGGAGACCCCAAAGCACCAATGACTCTCTTTACATACCGACAATATGGTATCTGGGGTTTCGGAGACCCCAAAGCACCAATGACTCTCTTTGCATACCGACATTATGGTATCCGGGGTTTCAGAGACCCCAAAGCCCAAATGACACTCTTTACATACCGACAATATAGTATCTGGGGTTTCGGAGACCCCAAAGCACCAATGACTCTCTTTACATACCGACAATATGGTATCTGGGGTTTCGGAGACCCCAAAGCACCAATGACTCTCTTTGCATACCGACATTATGGTATCCGGGGTTTCAGAGACCCCAAAGCCCAAATGACACTCTTTACATACCGACAATATAGTATCTGGGGTTTCGGAGACCCCAAAGCACCAATGATTCTCTTTACATACCACAATATAGTATCTGGGGTTTCGGAGACCCCAAAGCACCAATGACTCTCTTTACATACCGACAATTTGGTGTCTGGGGTTTCGGAGACCCCAAAGCACCAATGACTCTCTTTGCATACCGACATTATGGTACCAGGGGTTTCAGAGACCCCAAAGCACCAATGACTCTCTTTACATACCGACAATATGGTATCTGGGGTTTCGGAGACCCCAAAGCACCAATGACTCTCTTTGCATACCGACAATATGGTATCAGGGGTTTCAGAGACCCCAAAGCCCAAATGATACTCTACATACCGAGATTATAGCATCTGGGGTGTCGGAGACCCCAAAGTACCGACGACTCTGTTTGCGTACGTACCTGGGGTATCGGAGACCCCAAAGCACCAACGACACTCTTTACATACCGACATTGAGGTATCTGGGGTTTCGGAGACCCCAAAGCACCAATGACTCTCTTTACATACCGACAATATGGTATGTGGGGTTTCGGAGACCCCAAAGCACCAATGACTCTCTTTACATACCGACAATTTGGTATCTGGGGTTTCAGGGACCCCGAAGCAAGTAGCGAAATATAAGACCTAAAAACGAACAAATTGTGAAACTCACTTGTTCGGAATAGTGATGGGTACGACCGGATCTAGCGAAATATAAGACCTAAAAACGAACAAATCGTGAAACTTACTTGTTCGAGGTAGTGATGGGTACGACTCATTTATTTACATTTTATAATATTATTTATTATAAAACAAACTTGTATATAATTAAGAAATTATTCACTCACAAACAATGTAGATGATACATTTGTAAATCACAATCGATTTCCAATCAATTACAGTTATCAGTTATCAGAAAATCTGTTTATTATAAAAAATTACTAAAAAGTTTCGGTTCACATCATGATTGAAATAAAATGGCTAATTACAAAAGAACTAATTTGTTACAGACGTTAAAAATAGACTCATGATCAATTACAAACGTAATACACTAAGAAAAATTAAAAATAATCATATTTTATTATTCCTTTCGGCTAGCTTCATGTAGATGCATACCGACAATATGGTATCCGGGGTGTCAGGGACCCCGTTGCACCTGCAACACTGCATACCGACAATATGGTATCCGGGGTATCAAGGACCCCGTAGATAACGAGTCCTCGAATGCAAAGGCGGTAAATTATCGAGGAGTTTCCGCCGTTTTTGAATAGATGACGCTAGTGTCGTAAAAACTAATTAGTTTACAGTTTCTATGCACTCTTTGATAAATTTCATTACAGTTTTTGATTGGCATTGTTACTTTTATAATGAATTAATCTGTACACAGATAGGATAGAATATCGTTATAAGATTTATAATATCAGTAAAATATGTAGCTTGAAATGTATTTATTCTGTTACATCTACATTAAACTTCAGTATCTATTGCTATAAATTATATATTTTTTATCATGTTTATAATTAATACGCCTTCACGTTCGGTTAGAATTGAAATGCACTTTCGTCGATTTTGCCGTGTCCTAATATCGGTAAATTCTTACATTAGAAATAACTTGGGATAAATGAAAGTATTTAAATTTACCTCAATCTTGCGAAACATTCCGCGTTGGTACTTGTTGAATTTTCGTCGTATTATTTCCAGGGATTCTTGATCGATAGGTGCCAATAACATTTTCATGGGTTTATCGGTGTGACATAATAACAGATCCATTGTTTTACAGTATTCACGAAACCCTAATTCTAACTCCGAACACAAATCAGCTTGTTGCTCAAATAATTTATCAATCTCTTCTTGTTCTTGTTCGACTTTTTCCTCTAAATTTACTAGCACTTTTTGGTGACACAGAACATCTCGATGGATGATCTTTTCAATTTCCGGAACTTCGTGCTTCCTTTCGTTACAAATTTCTCTCTCCATAATGTATCGAATTTGCTGATGTTTACTCAATTTATCCTGTATGTTCTCCAAATTCCTTTTTGCCTAAAAAGAATCACCAAAAAATTAGTAGAAATTCAAAATAAAGTATTTCATTATCAATCGCACTGTACCTGAAAGTATTTTTCAATCGTGTTTGAGAATTTATGTCGAACTACAAACAGTGTTTTCTCAATTCTATCCAACTTCTCCTTCATTCTTCCATACTCCTTCTTTTCTTTCAGAAAACGGTCGAACATTTGTCGAACCTTTTTCAATAATAATATACATATAGATATAAGTAAAAACAAAAGACAGGATGCATCATGATAAACCATGTAAGTACTCATACCTGTGAAACATGAATTTTATGAATTTCATCCTTTCTTGAATTCTTCCGAATTTTCAGCGTTTCGTTAGTACCAACTTCTTCTTCTTCTTCATCATCATCATTTTCTTCTTCTACCTCCCCTTCTTCTGTATAAGGACCCAAAGTCATACCTACTTTGTGTTTTGTACTTAGTATTCCATATTAAAACTATTTACAATTATTTTATACGCATAATTGATTAAGCTTACCAGAGTCATTTAAACTTCCGACTTTTTTGTATGTTTCTTTTGAAGACTGTTCGATTTCTTGTGTACTCTTCTTGTCATCGGCAAGTAAAATGCTTTCCTTCATTTATTAAATACATTAATGCGAATCAATTTTACGAATAAAATATACGATAAAAATACCTTAGGTAATGTTGATAACGCATTAATCTGCGTGATACTTCTCGTAAGATTCTCGTATGTCTCTTTCAACTTTTCAACTTCGAGCTCCTTTGCAATTAATCTATCGATTCAATCATTTGAAACTTGAATCTTAATTTATACTACATATAGCGAAGAATATGAACACCTGTTGTATAAATCCTTGATACTCTTCAACAATATTTCAGCCTGAGACACGCTGAACAATGTGAAATCCGAAATGTTGCCGTTCAAAAAATTAACGACACTTCGATTGATTTGTTCCATTCGTGATTCAGAGATATTCATCAGATGTTCTTGCTGAAGGAACAAGTCGTTTATCATCAATTCCTTCTTCAAAGCGTTAACTTGATCCTGAAGTCTGTGTAACAATAAATCTGGCTGGTGTTTCACGTTTTCTCGTACTCTGACCGATTTGAATTTCGCGATTTTTGCTGTCAATTTTAAAGTGGACAACGTGATATTCAAATCCTCTTCCTTGATTCGAACGTGAGATATGAATCTATTTAATACGTACGAGAAATTATTTAATCATCAACGATTACATACATATATAAAATTTGATCGATAATCGTAAATTCTAGTTCTAGTCACCGAATTATAGATGAAACTGAAAAAGCATTGCCCAGGATCTTTAACAAATTACTGGAACGTATCAGAGTACTAGCAGATATTCTTCCTGCTGATAGATACGAGAAAAATTGCTCTAGCTGAGTTTTCGTTAAATTAGCTATACCAACATCTGTGGCTGCTTTCCAGCAATTACTACTTTTTCCTACTGTTCCTGTACCAGCCATTTCAACGATATGCATCTATAAAAACAAGATGTAACAATGAAATCTCTAAATCGTGGTGAAACGCGATAATTGACAACGTTGCAAAGGTTAGGTTAGGGAAGTAATGCAAAGTTTACCGATGGAAGTATGTACACATACTTTGGCCGTGGTTACAGTACCCCAAGATGTAATTAAGCTGATATTAGACACGTGGAAAGTGATCAGAGCAGTGGCCAAATGGGACACAGGATACGTCGAACCTTTTACGCTCGATCTTCGTACTTCTCCTTCGAAAACCTTTCGAAGAGCTTCCTCTGCGTTCTCCACCATTACCACAGATATATCCTACAATTTTTATTTTTATCTTTATTATTTATCCAGAATAAATTCATACGGAATGCTTTTTTTCAATAGTACAATATATCGTGGCAACACCTTGAAAGGATCTCTATCATTTATCCTAACTCTATTTTCGTCGTAAGTTAACAGGTCTTTTGCTTCTCTTCCATGCAACTCAACGTAACTCACACAATATTGTATCTTGTTACTTTTCTTCTTACGTCGTTTCTCAGCGAACATCTGAGATATTAGTCGTGCAATCAGCCCTCTGTGCTGAGAAAAGAAACGTAATCATTCGATTCAAGGTGTGTTTGAAGGGAACTGTATTAAAAAAATAACGAGCCATTCATAGAATCATACTTCCCAATTGTTTCTCAGACCGCTAATAGTGAAGCTCTTCCCGGAGCCTGTTTGTCCGTAGCCCATTAATATGCAATTTACTCCATCTAACATTCTTAAATTTGTAATCCCTTCAATTTTTGCTGTTTAATCGGAAAATAATTCACTACTGTTCAAGACTTCTTCAGCCGTGAAGTCTTCAACAGTGATAACCCCTAAATATGAGCTTTACTTTGGCACAAGATCTTCCGTTGAAACACGATAGACCTCTTCTTGGGAGGAATCGTGAAAGATGTCATCAACTTGAAAACACCAGTAAGATGGTTCTTTCGATGTGGCGATTCGGTTCGATTGCATTTCTTGCAAACATCTTATGTATATTTTCTAAATAACGAATAAAGATACTCGATTTAATAACGAGAACGTTCTTCGATCATTTCACTCATCGGATCATTACCTTCCGTTCCGTGTCAATCTTTGCACAAGATTCACACAACTTCTCGAATGGGAAAACCCTGACGAAGATTTTTATGTTCTTCTGATTGATATCCGCATCATCGTTATTCGTCATGTTCAAAAAATTCATCAAATCTATTCCGCAACGCGTGTCTGTAGGTTTTTACAATAATAATTGCGCGAAGTTATGAGAGATCTTAACGGGGTTTTCTTAGATGTTCATTTTTTTCTTTCTTTTTTCTTTTTTCCTCTTTTTTTTTTTAACGAATAATTTTCTACTTTTTTTAATATGTTATACGTACATTTTGCAGGATTTGTTAATGTAATTTTTGTTAAACAGAATGTATGTATGCAGTGGTAGTCACCCTCAAGCACGCTCGACATCCTTCCAGGGAAAATGGCGGTCTAAACCAGCGAAGGGGAATGTGTCCCCACCACCGGGTATGATTTACCGGTTCGGAAAAATGGGATGCATTTTTGCATCCGGGTGGCGTTCTTTAGAGACTTTACCGTCCCTTTTTGCCCAACGAACTCTGTCGGTCACGCGCCTAGGAGGTTGGCACTACGGCCAACACTCTCCCGCGCAATTTTGAAACTTCTTTATGCTTACGCTAATCCCTCTTTTACTTAAGTATGTACATTCTTTCTTTCGCTTTGCCCGTTACATTTACTCTCTTACGCTTTTGCATTACTTTTAGTTCTCGCTCGCTCCTTTACATTCCCCTTTTAGTCGCCTCTTACGACAGGCAGGGGTTACCGTGGCCGTATTCTACTCCCCCCGAGCCACTGGGGGCCTACCGGATATGATATCACGAGCATTTACTTGGTGATATTACTGTTTTTATTATTATTATTGTTAAGTTTTTTACGGAATGGACAGTCAAGTGTGTGGAGACGGTCGATTATTAGATTTAATTGATGAAGCTTGGCACAAAGAACGCTTACCTATCGACGATATTGTAGTGCCAATAGCAGAATTACCCGATCCTGAAAGCGACAATGGTGATTCTCACATGACGTTAAAAGAATTAGAACAAAAATGGAATAATTTGGCTTTAGGATCTCTCAGTGAGAATCATTTACATTCCCCAACACCATCGCATAATTAAACAAGTATGTAATTATTTATAGTATTCGGAATACTTATATAACCAAGATTTGTTTTTTTACATTGTCATTATTACAGATTAAAAATGGAGTTTCCAGATATCGGGGAAAGATGTTCAATAAAAGATTGTAAACAATTGAACTTTTTACCATTTCAATGCGATCATTGTCATGATGTATTTTGCAAGGAACATTTTCATGTTGGTGCTCATAGCTGTTCAAATTTTCATGAAAATATTGTACATAATAAAGTAAAAGTATCAAGTTATATATGTTCTGATGAATCTTGTAAAGAAACTTCACCCATTGAAATGCAGTGCGTTAAATGTAAGCAACATTATTGCTTGCAACATAGATATCATGGTTGCATAGAGTACACTAACGAGGAAAAGACAACAAAATTAAAAAAATGGCAAATACCAAAGAAACAGTTTGCAGAAGCAAAAGCTGTAGTAGATCAAGAAATTTCAAACAGTTTGAAGAAGTCTAAAAATGTTGCAATGGCCAATAAAGTACGTTCAAATATTGAAATAATTTATAATACAAAATGATTTATATTTAACTGAAATATTATTTAAACAGGTACGACTTATGCGTGTGAAAGGTTCTGCTGTTGGTCCTAAAAATATACCAGCAAATGAACGTTGTTATTTTCTTGTGTATCCACCAACCACGGTATCTAATAAACATATAAAACCATCAAAGGGTATTTATGTAAACATAAACTGGGTATATGGAAAAGTTATAGATTCAATATCTGATACATTAAAAATTTCTAATAGTAATTCTATACCAGGTGTTAATAAGTTACAGCTATTCCATCATTCAACTGGTACATTAATTTGTAATGAAATGGATACACCTCTTAAAAAATTAATTGAAAACTCTGAAATTATTGATGGACAAAGTGTTATTTTAGAATACTCAAATGGTACGGTTCTAGATACTTCTTTATATAAATAAATATGTTTATAGTAGATAATATTAACTGTTTACTTCTTATTCTAAGCTTAAATACTATAAGTATTGTATATGTATAATTTATTGATAGCTGTAAGAACACATTTTTAGAATAATATTTGTTTATTACAAACTAGATAGTTTCATATGTTAGTTTTACATTTACTCTTGATAAAAAGATCCGCAGATGCATTATATATGCACTTAATAAACAAATAATTTATACCAGATTATTGTCAGGTTTTTCCCAAATAAAAATGATATTTCGGCTTTGGCACTGGACGTTTTTTCATCTTATGTACTCGAGTTACACTAATATAACATAAAGTAATTAACAATATAGATTCGTAAATAACTATATGCCTATTGACATTTTTATAATATCATCGTACAAATACTAAACAAAATAAATACATAGCAAAAGAGATTCCAAGTTAAACTATTTCAGAGATGTGCGCGTTTTAATTATACGGTTATTTATTTTCATATATCAAATAATTGTTATTTTAATATATAATAAGAAGAAATTCTTATTACTTAAATAAGAAAATAATACACAACATATCGAAATGTTTGTATAATAAATATACTGAAAACAGAAAATATTGATGTAAAGAAGAACTAATCTCTTACAGTTCATAGCTACTCCATAAATTATTTTAATGCTGTTATAAGTCTTTTGTAGGACATTTAAAGGCTTAAATTTCTTAATACTTATAGTACTATTACATACACTGTGCGAATGACGTCTTCAAAATTCTTATGCAAAACTGCCAGCATATGAAATTTAATATTATACAAGTACATATTTTCTAAACGAATTATAAATATGAAAACATTGTATATTATTACAGAATCAATTTATCCAGAATATATATTTATCATTATATATATCTAACTGATAATATCAAATCAAAAATTTGTTTCCTTATATGCAAGTAGTTTGTGCAATTAAATTGATGTATAATTAATCATAAGGATTGAACAATATCTAATTTTCGATACTTGCTCTGAAGTTAGTGAATTGTGTACAATATAAAAAAGAAAATAGACGAGTACCTATATTAACAACGACAAAATTTGTCGATGCCGATGTATAATAGATTGGAAACAAAAAGCGGCAATAATTACTAAAATAGTGTCATGCACGAAAGGAAATAAAAACTAACCTTTGTCTAAATATAAATGAAAATAATTTTTGAAGTAAAGAACGCATCTAATTAAAGAAAGGATGCAAAGTATGTATACAGAGATCGCGAAGACAACAAGTAATGTCATACGAACATTTAAATTTGTTTCTGTATCCTGGCCTCTCGTTCGGCCACTGGCCACCTGCCTGCTATTAGGGGAATGTATCTGGTAGCGGTAGGTGGCCTGAAGTCAAGCTCAGGAATGCCAGCGAGACTTTTGCAATTCAATTTGACCTTCTAACGTTTTTGCAAGATAAATGACAAATAATTGGCTAAGAGCTATACCCAAAGCGATACCAGCTATTGTATACAAGTTACGTTCTGCCCAACTTCTCACAATTTCAATGCAACCACTAGTCCACACTTTCTTGCCTGCTTCAGACACTGGTAACATTTGTACGTTATAACCACACATTATATTCACAAGACCACTCTACAAATTCAAATGATATAGTTATTTTCTTTTTTTTAAATTATTAAAAAAGTATTGTTTATAATAGAAGTAATACTTACCGATATGTCTGTAGCATTAATACAACAAGAAAATGGTACACCACAGTGTTCTACGCTTGGACTGGAGCAGTTAAAGTATTCATTTTTTCCCCAGTCCAAATAACCTTCTTGACTTAAACCACAACATCTAAACTGTTAATGAAAATGGAAATACAATTAATATTACTAATCTTAAAAATATTTTAACAAATATTTTTTTAATATAATTTCTTACTTCTTGTTGCCCAAAATCAATAAAATTTTGTAAATCAGGATCCTCACGATACGTCTGTATGATTTTATCTGTAAATGATTCTTCCAATAGCGATTGCAGTGTATGTGGGAATACAAATCCAACAATTGCTATACCCATTTCAAGAAGAAAGAACACCAGTAAACACAATGAATACTGTAATAAACAATTGCTATATACTTTGTTGATGAACTGCTAAATGTATATTTTAAACCATGATACTAACAAACTTGAGAAGACATGTATTTTCACGCAATGCTCCAACACATCCTGCGAAACTGACAACAAAGACTACTCCTCCTGCTATAACCATTACAAGTGAAATATTTAGCACTACATCGTACACATTCTCCACTCTAACTGAACCAGTTGCTTGCCACTTGTCCACAAATGCATATAAACCCACTCCGATTAGAAGACCACCAAACAACTGTATAAATAACATTAACTTATTTAGAACAACTTCTTATTAGTTATACGCTCATCTTCTAACTTATCTTCTAATTATAACAATAATAATATAGATAAAAATTACAGATTAGAATCACAAAATATTCGCTTACCCAAAAAATAAAATTGAGCAGAAATATCATGTATTTTACACATGAACTAACATAAGTAAAATTGTTTGTCCGTCTCCGATTGTTCATCATTGTAAAGTAAAAGCAATTTTGGAAGATGTTAAATGGTATATTTACTTATATACAATTAACACAAGAAATCTGCACTTTCAATTATATATATATACACACAAGTTATAGCAATTGCATTACTAATCAAATAGTTTCATGTACTCAACGCATATTCATCCTCTCTTCATTTAATCGTCGACAAATTATGTTCGATAGCATATGAATTAAAACGGCAGTATAATACACCATACTTTGACAGTTTACTTTGTATCCGCCATTACATTTCTGTTTCTCGTATTCCTCAGTTCCAACAGTGATTGTAGTCACTGGTTCCAAGTTTGAAATCAGCTGTCCATGTACATTCCGTGTTTCTATAGAGTGTATGAGTGTATATATGCATGTGTATTTGCAGTGACTACAGATGTAGAAGATTGGACATATGTAAGTATGTATGTATGTATGTACCTTTGTTTTCGAGGGGTCATGATTTAGGAAGTCCCAGACACCCCCAGATGAGATCAGCCAAGGCTGAGCTCGAGACACTGACTGACAACGAGTAATGGAGTATTGTTTTTTATATCAAAGCAATCTGTTATTATCATCAAAGTGCGTTAGACTGTTGCAGTACGAAGTATTTCTGATTTTTATAAGCGGGGTATTTCTACCCAGAATGGCGCTTTGTAGGGTGATTTTTATATTAGGATAAAGCAGATGGCGTTCGTTCTCCAGGCACAAATTCACGACCCTTTGAGAACAAAGGCATGTCCAGTCTTCTCAAGTCTTCTACCATGTTCTATATAGTATCTGTAGTCACTGGTATTTGGTAGCTCCAACGTAAAAAATTATAAACAAATTTGTAACAGTGAATTTGTTTTATATTTCTGTGGATATACATTAAGAAACAAATAAAATTTTTCGTTGAAAACATGACGTCGGTGCAAGACAGTAAGTTTACCACTTATTTATTAATGTTTGTAATTTAGAGGTTAAGAGATTAAGATTATTAAATGTTGGTGTATACCTTTTAAATTTATATAAAGTATAATATACAGTAACGTAACATTATAAATGTATTATTTTAATAACTAGTATTATTGTATTCTACCATTTATGTTTTTATGCATATATTAGTCAACAACATTTTCTAACCTATACAATGTAAACAATAAATTGGTACATAGTTGAAAGTATTAATATAATCAATACATTCTTTGAATACATTCTAATTGTTATACAATTTATTTATAGGATTAAGATTAAAAAGATCTTATGATACCTGGAGTACCCGTGAACAGTTATGTTTAGCTTCTAGCGTATTAAAGTCAGGAGATCAAAATTGGATGAGCGTATCAAGATCCCTGAAAGCATTTGTTGAAAAAGAAACATTAAGACCACCTGATTGGTTTTCTCAAAAATCTTGTGCAATTCAGTATGCACATTTGTTGGAAAATGCAGATACTCCTAAGAGAAAAAAAAGAGAAAGCGGAGAAACAACAGGTGAATCAATAGTTAGGAGATTAACACAAGAAAGAATAGCAGAATTAGGACAAATATTAGCTTTTCAAAGGGATGAATATCACCAGCTTAAAGCTGAAATAAACATGTTAAAATCTGGAGCAGTAACGGAAGACAAATTACAAAAAATGTGGCTTGCTATTGAACAAGAAGAACGGGAACAAGAACAAAAAGCAAGAGCACATTCTGCATGGTTAGCAAAGAGACAACAGAAACAGGAATTAAATTTACAGCAAGGAGTATCTGTCATGAATCAGCGTAAATCTACAGAACATACAGTAGAAATTCAAGAAACAACAGAAACGGTAGATGAGGATGAAAAGAAAAGTAGAGGAGGAAGGTCACCATTGTTGACAAGTTTATTAAAATCTCCGAGTCCAACAACACAAATTCAAACTTCAACTACCACAGGGCAAGTAAGCTCTCCTACAATTACGAGTTTACTTGGCTCTAGTCCTAAAGTACCAAATTCTCAACTAACACAAAATGTATCACCCCAATTGCATCAATTGGTTTCTTCTGCAATTTCAAATGTACCACCGGAACGACCATCAGTTGGTGCGCCAACCTTATCTATGTTGTTAGAAATGCCTGCTAATGCACAACGTGGTCCTCTACCTAATTTACAATCAGCTTCTACCATTGTATCTCAACAAAATGTGCCTCCTGAAATTCAAAATCTTCAACCGCAATCAGTTCATCAAATAACAGTTCAAAATGAAGCACCTGTGCCTGCCCAGGCACTTACAATTAATGCATCAAATATTCCAGTCACAGAAAGTATGGTACAGATAATAGATCATATAGATGATGTAATACGTAAAGATATAATGGCAGATGTAATAGATAAAGATGAAATTAATGAAATCATTGGAGATATAGAAGAACTGATAAAAGAAGAAATAACTGGAAGTCCACAAACATTAGATACAGCTGCAACTACAATAAATACCATTACTGTACCTCAAATTCACGAAGTACCAGTAGTAACAGAGAGACCAGAGCCTAGAGATGTAGATGAAGTTGTATCGCTTTCTAATTCACCAGAAAGTGAAATGGCTATTGAAGAAATTGATTCTAGTACATCAAATATTGCAGAAATTATAGGTACAGTTGCTATTGAACCACAAGAACCTAAAATTCTTGCAGCTGAAATATCTGAAACTATAACAAATCCATCTGAAGAAGTAAAATCCGAGGAGAGCACATGCGACGAAAGATTAAACGAAGAACTTGTTTCTGAACTAGAGGCTCACGATGGTGAAAACAGCAAAGATACTACATTAAAAGAGAAACAAATGGTTGATGGATTTGATACCATGGATACGACTTCAAATGTGGAAGCTGAAGAAAGTGATTCAAAAACACCTATAAAAGAGATGATGGATGATGTAGGAGAAGATGAAATAGAAGAAGACGAAGATGAAGATGAAGAAGAAGAAGAAGAAGAAGAAGACGACGAAGAAGAAGAAGAAGAAGCAGAAGAAGAAGACGACGAAGAAGAAGAAGAAGAAGAAGAAGAAGAAACAGAACTGATTATACAAGAGTCTAAGGGATCACCTCGTACCAAACTACAAAGAGAATCTTCTGAAGAGCTAGAAAATAAAGGTAACATGGAATTAGATCAGTTGGAAATGCATCTTGCTAAAATTACAGGTGAACAGCAAGATGTGCCATCAGCTGAAGTTGTTAGCGTTTCATCCGAGGTAACAAATGATCTTCCCAGCACTGAAGATACCGAAAAGTCGCAAGATATTAGTTTAATTTTAGAAGATGATGAAAGTACGCATAGTTCAGATGACAAGAAAAAAGTAACAGAAGAACACATTATAGAGAACACTGTAGAAAGTACAGAATCAATTGAATCATTTAAAGAGGAACCTATAATTGTAGTAAAAGAGAAAACTATTATAGAAGTAAGTGAAGAGTCGCCAGAAAAATCTCAAGAAGAACAAACAGAAGAAGCTTTAGAATTTTATACAGAAGAATTCAAGAAAGAAGATACAAAAGATTCTTCAGAAGATACAACAAGTTCTATACTACAAGATATAGAAATTAAAGAAGAAGAGATTGAAGAAACAGCAGTTGTAGAAGATTCTACTCAGTTGGTATCTCCAGAAGAATTAGAGACCTCAAAACAAGAATCTGCAGAATCTGTTAAACTTGAACCTGATGTTTCCAATATTAAACAAGAAGAAACTATACTTGAAGAACCTAAAGTAGAAGAAGAATCTAAAATTCAATTGGAGCCTACCCTTATGTTGGAAGTAAAAAGAGAAGAAATTCAGGTAAAGGAAGAAAAAGAAGATAAAAAAAATGTGGATAGCGAACGCATAAAAAAGGAACCAGAATCTATAACAAGCGTTGGAGAAGACACTGTTGAATTAGACGAAGAAGAATCATCGCTAAGCAAGTTGAGCGGAGGACGTGCCATGAAAACTTATTCTAAAAAACAGAATGTTTCTATTGACAGTGAACCTGAAAATGAAGGAACAGGTGAAGGTGCAGACTATAGAGCATGGAAGAAAGCAGTCATGTTAGTTTATAATAGACTTGCTACACACAAGTATGCATCTGTATTTTTAAGACCTATCACAGAAGACCAAGCACCTGGATATCATTCAGTTATCTTTAGACCCATGGATTTATCAACTATTAAGAAAAATATTGACAATGGCACTATCAGATCTACGATGCATTTTCAACGTGATGTTATGTTAATGTTTCAAAATGCTATCATGTATAATAAACATGATACATTTATTTATAAAATGGCAGTTTCGATGCAAGAAGAATGTTTACAACACATGCAGGTAAAAATTTTAAGTACATGTTTAATGTACAATTATTATTTATAGTAAGTATTCTATTATATTCACTTTTTTTTTCCTTTTTTTTTTGCATAGATATTAGTGCAAGTTACAGGAGAGGGAACACTTAGAAGAGAAACAAGAACTGCAGCAAGTAGCAGTAGCGAAGCCAGTGAAACTAGTATTAAAAGAAAAAGAAGTCACATTACACCAAGTCCGCATGATACTGACAGTCCACGCTCAAAAAAACGTAGAAAATCAGAAAATGATTAAGCTCTTTGGTCTGTGCATACATATACATAAAATGTGATATATTAAAGTTCATGAGAACTTTATTGGAAGAGTGAAAGAAAGGATAAATCTATCCTGTTGGTATTGAAGCACAATGCTGAACATAAAAGATATTTAAGTTGTATAAAAGAACCAAAAATTCAGTAATTTTCTCATAACAGTAGAAAATGCATACACAAATTTTAACTTCAAATTTCTTTCTTTAACACATTACTGTGACAACATAATAAATGTACAATGAACAAACAAACAGTGATTTGTTACACATTCTTTTAAGATGTAAGACTGTCAAAATTTTACATAAAAATAAATTCTTAATAACAAGTGTTCTGCCATTATATATAAAAAAAAAAAACCTACCATTTATTCCAAATGGCTCTTACAAGCATTTAACTTTTGAACATGGAAAATATATATAAAAGAAATTGACCAGTATAGTGAATCTAATACAAATAAACAGGAACTTCTATGTAATATTTTGTAGCTATTCAAGTTAAATTCATAATGGGTTATTACGCTAGTGGTGATACACGAAAAATGACACAAAGTTCCGAAGATGATGAAGGTTATCAAAACCAATTACCTTATACTATATCAGTTAGATCATTAAATCAATCAAATGTCAGAGATAAACCATACTTTACATTGGGAAGTTCTGAAAAAGTTGTAAGTTGTTTCTATTAAAATCATATTTATAATATTTTTTTCTTTTAACAAGTTAACATTTAAGTCAATACCAATGTCGTCGATATCGGACGATACTGATCGTCCGTTTTGGGGTGAAGATGAATTAAGTGGTTCCGAATCAACGCAACAATTAAATAAAAAACAGAAACGTCGGTACACTTTATCTCATCGTAATCGTATTGCAGTACACAAAAGTCGTTCTTCGCTATTTCAGTCATCAAGTTCTAGTTTAAATTCAATATCTGAAGAAATCTCATCAGGAGGTACGTATCTATTTATATATATTAGTTTATTAACGAATATTTTAAATAGTAACATTACAATTATAAATCAGATATGTAATTTTAATTATTGCAGTTTACGAGCCGGAAAGATATAATAAACTTACGAGTCGGATTAAAGTAAAGCAACTAAAACAATCTAGTCATAAAGTTGTAAAAAGAAAAATATGGACAAAAAAACGAAACTTCTTTTCTAATTGATATCTTAAAAGTATTTATTCATAATGTGAAAAGTTTGAAGTTTCATTTTGAAAGTGCATTTGACTCTGATATGAATTTACGTCTATCTATTGTTAATGCTTGTTATACCTGGAAATTTCATAGGTATTTGCTAAGCATATCTGTTTTCTGTTAGGAATCAAGTAAGGGTATTTCGCAAGATATTTTGAAGAATTTAAACAGCCTGAAAAAGTTCTGAAATCATGAGCTACCTCATACCAAATGATCGATTTAAACATCAGTATGATAAGCTGAATGAAATTCGAATTCGTAAGTTATTTAATTAAATTAACTAATGATACTTTAACACGTTTTCTAAAATAGAAACATTTAATTTGCTTTTATGAACACGTATATTTAGAATTAACATTACCGGCACGTAAAAGTACTCATATACATATATAGGTATGGCGGTGCATTAATATTACAGCCATATTGTATCTTTTACAGCGCATATCAAAACATTTGAAATTTGAATTTCAAACATGTACAATATAATCTATTTTTCAATTTCAGGATCAACCATTTTTGGTTTGATTCTAATGGGCTTTTGTATAATATTTTTAATATTATTAGCCTGGAACTTAAATAATACAATAAATGAAACAGTTGATGCTCAATATGTATTTTACTTAAATGCAGAACGCCCACTTATACGTACAGTATCAGACAAGTTTTTGTCGTTTGGAATTGATACATCTCAACTTCGTGATATGAAAAGACTTCCCATTGTAAATGAAAAATTTATTAATTTAGCTCGGCATCTTGCACCTGCTTACGTTCGAATAGGTGGTACATCCGCGGATTGCTTATTTTTTAATCAGGTTGGTATATGAATATAATATTGATAGATTATTCATTAATTAAATACTAATGTATGAAAGTTATTCGACTAGACAACAACAGAAATAACTTCGGAACAAATAATTAGCGCAGTGGATGATCAAGATATAAGTAATTTCACGATCAATAACATACATTTCGAAAATTTGTACAACTTTGCAATAAGGTCAAAGTTGCGAATGATCTTTGATCTGAATGTATTAATTAGAAATCCAAATAATTCCTGGGATAGTACTAATGCTAAGAGTATAATCTCATTTGCTAAAGATAAAAATATGAAGTTGGATTGGCAATTAGGAAATGGTACAATTTCATTTCATAATTATGCCTTATTTACTAAGTTTTTAATTGTATTTTACATATCATTTCAGAACCCAATTCTTTTCATCATGTATTCAATAGAACTGTTACTGCAATTCAACTTGCAAATGATTATTATCAATTAAGGAAACTGTTAAATGAAGCAGGATACGATGAAAGTCTTCTTGTGGGTCCAGAAATAAATCATGTAGGGGAACCCAATTTCAGGGGAGAGCATTATGCAGAAATATTTTTGGAAAATGATAAAGACAGTGTAAATTATGTTACTTGGCATCAATATTACCTTAATGGAAGGGAAGCTAGGATAATTGATTTTCTAAATGTTTCAACCTTTAATTATTTGTCGCAACAAATTGAATCTATGAAGAAAGCAATTCAATTGTCAGGAAAAAATATCTCAATGTGGTTATGTATGTAATTTTGTATTTCTATGTATGATGTAAATATCTTTTGTATAAAAAAGTAGGGAAATAAAAATATCACGTTACTTGTAGCTGAAACTAGTACAGCTTATGGTGGAGGTGCTCCAGGATTATCGGATAGATTTGTAGCTGGCTTTCTATGGCTTGATAAATTGGGATACAGTGCTAATGCAGGATTGAATGTTGTTACCAGACAATCATTGTTTGGTGGAGATTATGCTATGATTGGACCTGATCTTCAACCAAATCCTGATTGGTGGCTTAGCATAGTTTATAAGCAGTTTGTATCAAACAAGGTTTTAGAATTAGCAACGGACAATTTTGATCGTGTACGACTTTATGCACATTGTACTCCTGAAAAAGCATTGATCAGTAAAGCTCCAGCAATTACAATATATGGAATAAATATAGATGAAATTCCTATTCGTATTACCATTCAAGGAATTCCTGTACTTCATAAAAATGCCAAAGCATTTTTATATGCGCTTACTTCAGACAAGCTACAGTCAAGGTAATGATAATTATTTAATATTATTTAATAATAATAAATTATGTAAGACACTTTATTTTATCCCATTTATTTTTAGAGATATAAAAATGAATGGAAAAATATTACAATTACAACCTAATGGAAATTTACCACCCTTTAGACCAATCATATTGGAACTTGCACAAGCAATTACTTTACCCCCTTATTCTATGGTATTCATTGTAATACACGATACAAAATTTTCAGCATGTAATGTATAGGTAATGTACAATGAATCCATTCGCTTATATGCTTTTTTTTTTATATCAGACATTTTTCTATTTATTAAACATTGATAATATATCTTCATAAAACATATTTTTATAATCTTTCACCAAAGAACGAAAAATGACTAATAAAAGAATTTAAAAATATTAAAAAACCTGTTGAAACATTTTATACATATATATGTGTGTGTGTGTGTTTGAGTTTATACGTATATTATAAATATATATATATATATATGTATATGTAAATGACTACATTCACAGCATTTAATGTATATAATTCGTTACGGTGATTACATAATATACTATGCAGAGAATATCACATGGTGACATATTTTTTTTTTTCCCCCATAAACTTTATGCTCTTTCCAGTAGTGTGTCTTTCATTGTTGTAAAACAAAATATACTTACAAATTATAAACTATATCTTGTTACAAACATTATGTGAAAAAAGTAATACCATGTACAAAAAATATGCAAATACTGAAACAAAGTATGCAATGTTAGGTAAGCGGAATGATTTAATTTATCTTCTAACAATGAAATATTATTTTTAAATCAAAATAAATTTTACAATGTTTTTAATTAGTTTTGATGAACATTATATAAGTTATCAATATGAAACTGATAACATATTAGACAATTTATTAAGTCACAACTATTTATAGTATATATTTACATAAGATTTCTACAAACTTGATATTATTATATCATTCCTGAGCTGAAATGGTGATTGTTTTACCTTTAGGATCATCAAATCTATCCATAGTACGAATATCTAGAATCATAGTGAGAGCCCAAATCATAATCAGAGCTAATATGGCAGTAACAAATATTCCTGTCCAAATTGGAATTGTAGTGAAACCAACACAATCATATGCATCATCAAATGCTCTGGTATTATTAACGATTACTGCTGCATCAAGTTGTACTTGAAAGTTTGTAATATTTAGTACAGTAGAATTATTGCGAAAGATAATTGTATCTGAACAGTGATAAGAAAAGTTGAATGGAAATACAATATCTGTCTTTGTTGTTAGATTTTGTTCACTGTCGATATTATTTGTACTTGGATATAACATGTATTTAATTGTTTTAAGTGTATAATATCCTGCAGTTTTAACTTCAAACATAAAAGTAAGCTCATGTTTAAATATAGGCTGACCAGTTCCATTGAATTTCAAAATTAAATTATACGAAGATGTCTGTGGATCTGTGTTTTCGGAAGATGTATATCTGAGAGGAAGATCTATGTATTTTGTTTGGTCAGGAAGCTAAAACACATATATTACGTTCATATAAAAACCATAATTATAATATTAAAAATATAATTTTTAAATTTACCTTCACCGATAGAGCTCGACTAGAATACAATAATACTCTGCCTGATGAAACAAGAAAAGGATCAGAAGTATCATTGGCAGAAGTATCAGCTCTTTTTACTCGCTCCGAACGTCTATAATTACATGACTTTCCTGTGAGAAGAGCTATCAAATTAGGACTGGAATCTTTTATTGTCTTGTACGTCTCTGGGATAACATCTAAATTGTTAATTGGCATAATCAACAACTGTCCATCGGATACAGAATCTATGTAATCATTGTAAGTCTGATTATAAGAAGATAAATCTTCAACAGTATTCACTGCTTTCTCAACTGCAGGATAATAATGTAACGAATCAGTGGCAACAATTTTTTGAAGATGCTGAAATGGTAAAATAATTGATTAATTATTAAATATACAAGTAAATAAATATAACCTAAAAGTTGTCAATATATGCTATAATAACCTGTTTGTGTTTTACTAAATCTTCGACGCACAAATTATCTTTTACATAAAGAAGAACAGGAGGAAGATTTTCTAATGTTTTACGTAAAAACGAATCGAATTCTTTGCTGGTAGTTTTTAAAAACGGGTTCACTGCGGTTGTTGGTAAATCCGAATTAACGGAACCACCCCATAATAGTACAGGTACCGCATTATCGGCGTATAATGGTGAAATTTGATACGTAACAAGTAATATAAGAACATAATTGAAAACACAACGAAACCCTGTCATGATGCTTTTAACTAAACTGATTTGGGCGAGTCAGATAGGTACTGATCGTCCACTATCGAGCAGAAAGCAACGGAGCACCTGACTTAGAATCATATGACAGACGTCACGTGACAATTTTGTTTCCGGATTTTAAACTAACATCCATTTTGAATTGCATCAATTTGCTTTGTAAAATTAAATATTTAACTATCTAAATGAAATTTTAATACACATAAAATTATTGTCGATGCTAAATACATATATTTTAAAATAGTATTTGAATGATTGTGAGACACCAAAATGGAAGCGAAGAAAGAAACTGTTATGTATTCGGTTTGTATAACCCTGTGAATTTAAATGACAAATAAAATAATTATATTAATTTATTATTGTTTCGTTAGCAACTCCAACCATGGAGTACAGTAGGTGTATTACCTTGTATGGAACAAATTGCTGGTCCACCAATTTCAATCAGAGTTGGAGAATTTTATAAAACTCCGAAACCACATCCTTGGCGACCTACTTTAGGATATGAAACGGTAGAAGCAGCTCCTTTGTAAGGAATTATTTTTAACTTTTAAAAATACTTGTTTCAAACTATTTGTATCAAAGTTTACTTTGAAATCTTTTTCCTTCTTTAGACCTGCACAGCCGATGACAAACTTACTTAGCAATACTTGTTACACGCCGAATGGTATGGCTACAGAACCATTGCGATTTCCAAATCTAGTGACCGGTTTTGATCGAAATCCTGCACACGGAGCACGAGCTGCACTCTATACAAGATACGGTCCATACGAATGGGTGCAAAATCAGCTTAGGCTTTACAATGAATCAGATAGCAATAGAAACTTTTCTGAAAATTTGCGACAGGACACCATTCGGATGATGCGGTAAATTTGCTAATATGTACATACATGCCAAGTATTGAACAACAACGACAATTTATATGTATATTAAAGTACATTATTATATCTACAGAGAAGCCGATGAGAAAGTACAAAACGGTCAAACCGAAACTGGTCGTAAATTGGGAGAAAGAATTACAGATACTACATTTTGGAGAAACGAGGTAGCTGCAGAATTAGAACGATTAATAATGGAAAATATAAAGATGCAAGAATGTCGTCGAGGTTTACAAACTGCAATACAAAGTTTAGAGGGTCAATTGCACATAGCGCAAGAATGTCTATATTATCGTGAAGCGAGGACAGGTTTATTTTACTTGTTTTCTGTATTAAAAAATTAGTAAATATTGTCAGTAGATATTTAAAGTTGATACTTTTGGAAATGTAAACAGGTTCTGACTTGGTACACGACCAAGCTGAAGATGCTCTTCTAAAAGAAGTGGAAGTAGTTAGAAATTGTCAAAATAAATTAGAACATTTCACTGCTAAATGCATTAATCAAGTAGGTTTGAAACCATAATTGTACATTGAGTGTTCAGTACTATTTACACTCTTAGAAGGCTTCCTTCATTTTCAATTCAGCTTACAAATAGTAGGGCAGTACAAAATCAATTAGAAATTGACATAAGAAATAAAGAATCTGCGCTTGGTATTGATATTACGTGTCACCAGATGAACAACTACAGTCGCGGATTGAAATATTATGGTGGTATTGAAAAATATGATCCTAGGTAAACAATATGATTTATAGCGGTAAATTGTAGTTTATGATCGTGATTTAAATGTTAAATTATTAAATTTTATTTTAAGCGTTACAGAAGCTGAATCTTGGATGGAAGCCTCCAATAGTGTAGTAAAAAAATCACAAGCAGAAAGGTCAAAATCAAATCAATTGCGAAGTGACATTGAAATCGCAATAGATGCGGTTGGACATGAAATGTGGGAAGCATGGGGTAATACGAATAATGCTTTGGCCAGAAGAGCTGCAGAAATGCTGGAAGCTAAAGAGAAATTACAAATACATTTGCACAAAGTAATCACAATAATATTTAAATCTTATATGTACATGGTAGCCGAATTTAAATCGTACTTCTTTTGGCTATAGACTCAACAAGAAATCTTTGAAATTGAAAAAAATTTGCAATTAATACAAAAAGCTATTGCTGACAAAAGTTCGGCGCTAAAAGTTGCACACACGCGTCTAGAGAGTCGAACGCATCGACCCGAAGCAGAGCTGTGTAAAGATTACGCACAGATTAGGTATCGTTAAAGAAATTTGCATTACAGCGCGAACATACACGCAGACACTAAAACTATATGTGTTTTCCTAATGTTGTAGAATGGTCGAGGAAGTTGAAACCATAAATTTTATGATAAACGACATGAATTTAAAACTGCAGAGATTCGAAGCACAACATCAACAACTTTTACGTACCAGATCCAATTTAGAAACCGATTTAAAATCTAAAGTTGATGCATTGTTTATTGATAGAGAAAAATGTATGGGTATGCGAAGAAGTTATCCAATTGCATCGGTTATAAAGTTTTAAATTACACGTACTTATTGAAACGTGAAGTACTTATATTTTTTTATTAATTTTTTGTTTGCATGGTGTTGTCTGTTTTGCATAATACTTTTAATTATTTAATCAATTTTATAAAAATTTAATAAAAATATTTTCTTTGCATTAACATTTTTGTATAGCAATTTAATAGTACACAAAGGTATTTTTATTAAGGAAATTATAAATCTATAATATTTTATCATTAATGTAAGATAATATCACATTAATCATTTTGTATAGAATTCGTACTTACTAACAGATTAAGTCCAACTGTACAACATTATGACTGTATAGCTATTCACGAAAGCTTAGTTGTCAAAAACAACTTATAAAGTAGTATGTACAAAGTTTTATAACAAGGTTTCTTCCATGTAAAAAGTAGTACGTTGTAAAGATTTTTTTTCTCAGAAATATATAAGTTTCAATGTATGTTTCTAGTCCACTTAAAAGCAGCTACAGTATCATAGATTTTCGTTACAGCTGAATCTGTATCGTACTCATCTTTCAAGTAACAAATTTTAACATTTTCTTGTGGGTGACATTCCAAAACGTTCCATTTTTCAAACAATTTTAAAGAATTTTTTATTGGATCAACACACAAACTCTCACCTACAAAACATTGAAAATATTTTAATTTATAGTATGTTGATAATTTGTAAAAACGTAACTATAAATTGTTACTTACCATAGTTTACAATACCACGATCTAAATTCGTTTTCAGTTCATTTAAAACTTCATGAATTAAATCTCCTTCAGATAATGATCGGCCTACTAACTTTCTAAGAGTAAAAGCACTGAAAGTATACGTATCAACTAACGGTCGTAATAACATATGAAGGAATTCCATACGTTCGGCGTGTTCTGGTACTAAACTCAACTGTCAAAAAACATTAAAATGAATTATAGTCGTCCTGACGAAGAAAACGAAACTTTAATTAATAAAAAATTGCTCACTTTATATTGAATACTTCTACTCCTATTTGTATTATAATATTCTTCGTCTGAACTATCGTCGAAAGTTTGCGCGTACCTTCTACTCCATAATTCTTCTTGTAAACAACATTCCTACCAAATAATTTGAATAAGTGATTGTTGATTGACCAAATCGGCTTAATGTATGTACAGTACCTCTTGTGAAGTAATGATCTCTGTATGTGACAAATTTTGAATAGCTTCCGTAATAATGAGCTCCAATTCTTGGCATGGTTTGCAGAAAATAAATTCGTATTTAAAAATATCACAAAGTTTAAGAGAATTTTGAATTAAACGATTTTGAGATACTGTAATGTTATTTTCCGCGATAGCAACTGGGTCATTGATTTGTGAGTGCAATTCAGCATACAAAGCTGTTACTGAAAAATATAATTAACACAATATAACACAGTTTTTTATTAATGAATACGTTAAAAAGATCAATGTGTGCCTTCTTACCTACTATGCTGTCTATAACATAACACGCAAGCATTGTATTACTGTAATAGGATAATTCGATTACATTTGGTAAAATCGATTCAGGACGGATCGCAATCACATTATTTGATTTGACTGGGTGACCACTAACAGCTTCCGTAATTTCTTGTCGTTGTTGTTTTACCAAACCTGGACCTAAAATATCAAGCTGAAAAAAATAATCAGGTACATAGATTTATTCTATAGATTCTTACTACAATACATTATCGTGAACATATTGAATTTTACTAACTGCATGATTTATAATATCAATGTTTTCACCACAGAACGCAATATCATGATGACGAGATTCCAAATCCTGTCTTATTATCTGAAACGCTTCAACCAATTTATCCAGAGTACAACCATCTCGAAATTTATTTAAGAGTAAGAATGCAACAACGTTGGTAGACATTATCGGCATCGAGCAGGCAGAATCTAAAAATGATTAGGTAATTATTGTTACATTAACAACATTCGATGTAATAGAATTTTAGATATAATTTAGAATTAACCCTTTGTTTTTACCGTGTACAACGTGCCGTGCAATACTATCAACTAACTGCCGATATTCTTCCATAATGATGTCTGTACCATAAAGCGATGAACTCGACACTGTGTATTTCAAAGGTTTTTCAGACGGCATTGTTTTTCCTCCAATTAATTTGTTTTGTTGATTTTGAAAAGATTTTAACATTTCCTATCGATTAAAATCGAATAACATTAGAATGATAAAAATCTGATGTAAAATATATCGAAACTTAAGAAAAAGTGAAGTCTTACCCTAAGTGAAAACGGTTGACAAAAATCAACCTTAACAATACCATAATTGCCCCTTAAGGTTGACCATATACCTTGAATCGTGGAGCTAAAAGTTTCCATTTTCTTTGGGTGACCTAACTGTTCTCTAACAAAATTTCCATCCACGAGACGTTCATAATTCATTGCAACGGGTACTAGTAGTGCATCTTCAATAATTCCATCCATGTATGCATCAACGATAACACTCAAAATGCCACTTTTTGGCATACATGGTTTACCAGTTCTTGTACGGCCACCCTCTATAAAGAATTCTATGTTATGACCCGCTCGTAAGTTTTCCATTACGTATGTATGAAGAGTAGCGCGATAAAGAACATCTTTGCGGCCTACAATGGGGTCAATTCGGCGTTTTATAAAAAATGCGCCTAAGCCTCGTAAAAACCACCTATTTAACGAAACAGGTAATCAGTAAAATTATACAACAGAATATATTGATTATAAAGAGAAAGAGAGATTATAAACAATAATATACCCGAAAAACGGAATTTTCAGATTATCACCAGCTGCAATCAATGGAGCTCTAATATTATTTGTTAGCAGAATGAAACTGATCATAATATAATCTAAATGACTTCGGTGTAAAGGAACCAATATCAAAGGAAGGCCAGTCTCGTTTGCTTTCTTCAGCATCTCTATTTGAGAAGGTAATACTACTGCAGATTGTATAAAACATGGCAATAACTTATAAAGAATCCATGAAGTTATTTTAAGTAAAATATTGCTTAATCTGCTTTCCATTTGATATAATATAGTTTTTGCTCTTTCCTGTGCCTTCGCCAAGGCTACGTTTTCCCTAACACCTTCATTGCTAACAGTTTCTGAAGCAGTTAATATGATTGCTTCCTTTAATCTTTCATCTGCAAGGACCTGTAAAACAAAATTTTCTACAAAATGTACAAGAGATAAGGGGATTCAGAGGATTCTGAAATGCATGTAAAATTCTTTTAAATCTACAACTTACCGTTTCTGTTATCCTTGGGTAATCATACTCTTTACAACTATAAATATGTGAAATACAATGAAACACTTTAGAAAACAATGACAAGCCTGGATTAACTATCAATATATTTAAACCAAATGGCATATGTTGCTTGTTAATAGTATTTACCAATGAATTCTGCAAGAAAAGAATTAAGAATAAAATTAAGATATAAACTTACACGTAGAAGAAAATGTAGAGTTAATTTGTTATCGTTAATTTGTGGAAGAAAAAAATCAAGCAAGATAAACGCATTGTAACATTACTTTAACCATGCATGGTTGACTTACATGTACTGGATATCCATGTACCACGATAATGCGCAACCATCGTGAAAAAAGTCCACGTGGTTCTTCGTACATATTTTTTTTTTTTTTTTTTCCCAATAATTATCTCGCGGTTACATTTGAACTTTGCTGATACATAGTTCATTGATACATAAACATATCAATGTACGAAAATAATTAGTTTAACTTTGAAGGTGATCAATTATTGATCACTGAAAGTACTTATACTATTCTTTATCAAGGCTCGTAATTATCCGATAACGGTGCATTGCATTTAATCTTAAATATTATGGATGTATTTAAATAATCTCAATATTACTACAGTAATCGTAGTAATCATAATTGAATAAAATGTAAAGTTAAATATACAACAAGTGTCACGCGATTGCGTGTAGAATTCAATTATTCTACTAATCAAATGAATTGGTAGAATTCGATGAAATAGTTATATAATTAAATGCGCGTTGAAAGATGGCGTGTTAATTAGGTAACGCATGGTTTGTAATTGTATAATATATCTACTTGTACACGATGATACTTAATATTTCAACTGTAACTTTATTACGATTATACACTAAAAATCGTACTTTTATGGAAAAAAAACAAAAAAAAAACAAGATAAGTTACTGCAAAGAAAAACTTGGATACATGTTAAAGCATGTAAATATTCGCAATTCTGCACGCAGCCTGGCTACAAGATTGCAAGATAAATGTATTTTTAGTCGTAGAGAAGAGCGTGAACTTGCGACATTCTATTAATCGCCGAAGAATGCATACTTACTTGTTAAAGTTACGGAATAACTGGTATAGAACTTGTATTACATTTCTTCGTTTTAATTTTGAAAATTTTCAAAATTTTATGCTATAATACAGAAAAAATTGAGTGGCTAATTTTAATTATTAATCCACTGTTGTATACGTTTCATAAGTCTAGCTCATGATTGATCCTATAATTCTTATAGCGAAGATATTGTATCAGCACGTACGATGACGATTATCTTCCTTGAATTTTAAGCAATAGCAAACAATACCTTACTAAAGAAAAAAATTCACTCACTCTAGATGATGGAGTGCAATTGCTGCAACAGTAATGTAGATAGGAAGATTTTTCTTTAACAAGTGGAGCCAATGGCTCGGTTTCTTTGATTTTATACAGAGAGTTTTCGCGTATCTTTCTTGCTTGCTCCCTGTCTTGTATCTTTTTCCTATGCAATTGTTGTCCAGCTCGACGAAGTTCTGTAACGTAAACATATTATGTTAGAAATATTATTATTTTTTTTCGATTACTTCTCTGTTTACTTAATACTTTGACAAATCTTACCGTCCAACGAGAATCGAGTGGTGGATGATTCTGTATTTCGCCTTACTTCGGTCCTGGTCTCCCATTTCGCGTATACCTCTTGTAAACGCGTTGAAAGTATATCAACCATGCTGGGAGCTCTGCGATCGTATAAAAGAAAAACATTACATTAAAAACAAGACCGAACCGTGTATAACTGACAATGAAGCGCAAATTTTACGGGGTTTGCACTTGAAAAATGATCATGAATTATTTACGCTCGATCTCCGACACGGTCGAATGGAATTCAAACGGAGCGGATACGATTTTTTCTTCTATTTCTTTTGTTTCAAACATATCTCTTTGAGTTACTAACAAGCGGATGAAGAGTTTTGTATGCTTCTTAAAAGCAAAGATTTGTAAAGTTTAGTGTATCAATGATGATGATGACGATGATGATGATAAATTGTATACACAGTATGTATTGCTTCGAAATAAGCAACTCGCTATTTCCTCTTCTTTGTTTGAAGTCGACCGCAAAGTGAAAAGTACGAGAAATGAATGAGAGGTCCATGAAAGCGCGAAGCCGATGTTTAGGGTAATATGTAAATTGTCACGCTCGACTGAGCAGTGACATCGGTTAGTAGAAGAAGGATGGAATATATGTATGTACATATATGTATAATATCCTTGTTCAAAGAATAACATTCGAGAACAAAGTCAAGTCAAGAATAGCATACCTGCTTCGAAATAAGCAACTGTTCGGTCCCGAGCCACTTGCTTATTTCGAGACAAATATATGTATGTATGTATTCACGAATCGTTCATCTTTTCTATCTGTCTGGAATAAAATGACCGAGACAAGTCGAAAATTAGAGTCTCCCCTGTTACACCATTCTGATTGATTTCGAATGACCTATAGTACTTGTACCTATAACAATAGTCTACAGACATCTTACCTTTTTTCCCATTGAAATTTATCTTACGCTTAACTTTGTAAAAACAATGAAATGAATAACAACTCGGGAAAAGAGATTCCTAGTCACGCGATCTGAATTGCACAGATAGATCAGGTATCGGTTATATAAAACAGTATTAAATGTTCCAGTGTCCTAACGTGTTAAAAATATGTACATATATGTAACCAGAAATCATTGGTGCTTGGTGCTCGCAAAAAAGAAAAGCTAATAATCTTTCTGAAAAAAATTATTTGTTTATCGAATGCTACAGCTCATCAAGATGATTCTTTAACACTGGTACACGCAATAATTCATTGAATGACACAACGTCTTCTCCGAAGGAGTTGATAAGTACATATCGCGATCATATTTTGTGTATGTACTACGAACGTTGTACCATCTCATCGTCAGTAACAATGAACATTTTTCCAAAGAAATAAAGTATGTACATATAAGGTTTATAACAATAATTGTCAAAGTCCAAGCTGATAACAGTATCGTGAGAGACAAACGTCACAAAGAGATGCGATCGATTACGTGTAGCGCTACAAACAGCTGGTTGGTTTTTCATACGATAAATGATTTAGTATGTTGTTACTAATGTTTCTTCTCATTTTATTCTTGAATCGCATTTATTTGCTTCCTTTAAACTTTAAATGAAAAAATTCTTGCAAAAAAAAAGAAGAAAAACGCGTATGTTTCATCATTGCCAGTGAAAGCATTGAACGATTATACATATTTATCTTTCTTTCGATATTTAATCGTCTGTTTAAATCAAGTCTTCCGCGTTTCTATTAGACCGCTACTTAAGAAATGAATTTTTCATTGCAAAGCATTTTCATAAGTTTATCTAATAAGCACCGTTATCTTTGATTTCAAATAGAAAACAAGGAATCAATTGCATAATGCATATGCATATACGAGTTTAAACGAGATGTTTTTTGTCAGTACTCGATGCAATGATTAATTCAGGAAATAACGACACAAAGTGTATTAATGTAAATATAATTTTATCGCTAATTGTAAACATTCATTTTGCAAGCAAAACCTTTCGTTATTTCGTTAGAGAAATGCACTTTGTTCTCTGGATCATACGAGAACGACTTTCGATGTCCCCTGAACCAAGTTTACACCAAGTTTCGACAAAACCAATTCCTTCTTAAACTGATAATGATAAATAGTAAATTAAAATGAGTTTCAAGCAAGTAAGATAATTTCTTATTTTGTAATAGTATACTCAATATTTCAAAGTTCGAATAAAAGAAGAAATACGTTGTATGTACCCATTATACATACATATAGAATACTCCGCTCGTTTCTCTAATAATCTCATGTATTAGGTTTGCATTTTGCATGCAAACCATGCGCATAGATAAAGCTTATTAGAATGAAATTACTATAATTACAAGTTGACAAGATACCATCTTCGTTAGAACTATCGATTAAAACCGAGTTTTCAGATATGTACTCGTGAAATGATCGAGAATCTCGATTTCTAATTTAAAGGGGAGAGAATACGTTACCTGTAGTTGAAAAAATAGAAGAGGACTCCGAAAAAAAGGAAAATCTCAACGAAGCCATCCATTTTTTTTTTCAGTCGTGGAACACGCGATGATGATATTTATTTCTTTCCACCGAAATAAATAAATAAAAAAAAAGAAAAAAAAAATACTGGTACGTTTTTACCAGTCAACAAAGAGCATGGATGATCTCAACTGCTTCTTGCCATGATTTCAATCACAGTTTATCCTATTTCGTTTAATCATATATGTATATACATTGTAAACTTTGTTGCAGCGCGTCGATTCGATTGCCGTGAAAAAAGATATTACCGAACACTTCGACGAGATCCATAGATTCAAATGGCAACGGTACCGTTAGCGCCGTGTTTAAACGTCGTGTTATTCGGCGCCCCCGATGCCGCCTCGTAGTAACTTATCTTCGCAAACCTTTGAAATAAAAGCAGTAATACGAAAGGCTGCTTCGGTCGTGACAATCGTCGACTTTCTACTGCGATACGTTAAGTAACCACCAACAATATTCCCCGTAGACAGTTCACTGACTCGCTTAACTAACGATGCAACGCCGGAATGATGTTCCCGTATGACAACAGAATACGTTTTTTCTTTTCTTTTAAAATGCAGTCAGAAACTATAACCCTCTTACAATTAGAAGAACGTTTATCGTTTTACAAATAACTTCAAAACATTACGAATGGAAACGAAATGACAACTTTCAAACAATTTAACATCGTTTACATAATTGGCGCTTTAACTTGCCATTAGAATGGACATGTTTTAAAATTATAATTTTTAGAGGCAAACAAATTGTTTTACAATTACAATCTTTTTTCTCTTTTAGTTTCGATTAAGTACTGAAGTTTTCGTCTTTAAGAGATTCATTTGACAATGTTCTTATTTTTAGCAATAATAAAGAATCAATTTGTATATTCTATACGAAATATCGGATCGGGATAGTCGCACGAAAAATGTTTTTTTATAAAACAAAGAGTCACTTTCAGTTTCAGTTTCATTCGACAATCGATGTAGCCACCGCAAAGGTTGAATCATAACTGTATCTGAAGCATCGAGAATCACATGGTATACGCGGTAAATCACATCTACAGGGAATATTAAATAATCTGCATCAATTTTTCTTTTTTCTTTTCTATTAAAAACGTGACCATTTATCAATGTCAACTTAAAAATGATAAGATTATGATATGGAAATAGTTACGAAATTCGTACTATAATCCCTCACAAAAATAGTGAACGATGACCAGGGTAATTTTATTTTGTATGAATCAATCAAATATGTTATTGATTAAATTTAAATAACAAAGGACACAGAATGTAATTACAATTCTGTCTATATTCCTGTTACTTTATTCCAACAATATTATAATATGTGCACAAACAAATTGCACATACATAATGTGATTCAACATGCACCGATCTGTCGCGATAACACATTAATTCAACTAAAAATATTTCAACATTTAAAGATCAGATGAGATGTCCTTCGACGGAAATAAAAACGAAAAGATTGTCTTTGTTACTGAGTATCTCACAGGGTACACCATGCGACGAACAACATCTTGAGTAACAAAATCGGTATGACCTGGTGTTCAGTTAGTTCCATGCAACTCGTAAATTAATCCTATTGAAAGCCATTAACGTTTTATGTTGCTCCTTTATTGTATGTACGTCAATTTGTAAGAGGACATTAAGATTCGCTGTCTGTATATGTATACGATCGGGAAGATTCATTGGTAGTCTGAACTACGAAAGAACGGTTTCGTGCAAGGCTCGTGTTAAACGATTTCTTCTTTTACGCGCTACTTTCACAAATTAAAAATAGTGAACATGAAAAAACGATTCAATTTTTATTATCTTTTTTTCCCTCTTTTCCTTGTTATTCTAGATTAAAATAATCCACGTGAATGATTGATTCTTGTCATGTGTTACCTTTACAGTCTACACCGTCGTGTCGTTATTTTACTTTGTTTTTGTTTTTCAAACATTATTCAAAGATAGTATATGTATATATAAGTAGTATGTATGTACATACATACATATTATCAATTTTTAGTACTAGAATGATTATATCGCATCAATAAAAAATAATTATAACAAATTTCGCTCAGCATTGTGGCATAATTTTACTATTTATATAAATACGATGTTAAAAACAATACAAAACATAACCTTTATATGTATGTACATACATAATATATTTTGAATTTATTTTACAAACAAAACTTACCTTGTACTGATGTTCGAAAAAAAGATCTCAGGATCACATGAAATGTTAAATTAATTATTTAAAACACAGCTATCTAATTCAAAACACTAACGATAAGGCGTACGTTATACGCCACATGACGCCACACATTGCAGCACTGTGCAACACATATAACAGCGTGGCGCGTATTGCATATGTATAGAAACTCTAGGAAACACGTGTTGTCACTATATCACTATATAAAAGTGTAGAAATAACCTACTGATTGTCAAAAAACAATATTTGTTAAAATTGATAGAAAATTTAGTTAAGAATAATTGAAATTACATAAACATGGGGGTGAGTAAAAAATCATTTTATATTATTTTAATAAAATTATTACCATTTTAACCTAATTGTATTCTTACATAAATGAAATAGAAAAAGTTAAAAATTAGTGCAATTAAGAGAAATAATCAAAAAAGAAATAAACTTACAAAGCAAGGAAAGCTTAAAGCAAGACGACATAAACCATTAAAGAAACAAATTCAGAAAACAATAGCTCCACCTCCTGAATCTATCGAAGAGGAAAGTGATCATGATGATAACATTTTGGATATGGTTGAAGAAGAGGATTTAGAATTTCTTAGAGAAGCTGTTTCAAATAAGTCCTATAATTTACTGAAACAAATTCGTTTTAACGAGTATGTTAAGATATATAAATTATAATAAATTTTTATTTAGATTTTGGTTTAAAATTATCATACATTATATGTAATTTAGAACAGTTGATGGCAGAAAAAATAACAAGCACAATAAAAGGGAGAATGATGAAACATTAGAGGATAAATATGAAAATAGTATATCAAAAGTAATTGAAGAAGAAGGTGCAAAAAAAGTTCGCATGTTACTTCCTACAAAATCTAAAAATGGAATTATAGAAACAAAATTAATTGAAGAAAATGTTAATGAAGGCAGTGACAATAAGTCTGATGAGGAACAAAATAAACAGAATGATAACATGGAAATAGAATTGGATTTACATGTAAGATGTAACTAAATTTTATACTCTGCTATTAATATAATGATGTCTTATATATCTAAATGGTAATTGATATTTTAGACCGAAAACAAAGATGCAAATAAGGAACCTGTATCTATGATAGAACTTTTAGCATGCCGTAGAGATGTATTAAGATCTAAACGTTTAAAAATAGGATTACTATCTAGTAGTCTTTTAGAAGCACCTGAAAGTAAATGTGAAAATTTCAAAGTATTGCTAGAGTTTATGGAAGAAACTGATCCAGAAGTGTATATTAGTGTTCGAAAGTTAGCAACTGTATCATTATTAGAAGTTTTTAAAGATTTATTACCATCCTATCATATTCTTCAACTTCAACAGGAAGGTGTAAAATGTATGTAACTGTAATGAATAAGTATACTACTGTACATATTACTTACTGTTATGAACTGCAAGTGGATCATTTTTTTGTTTTCCAGTAAAAAAGGAAACACTGGCTTTGCAAAATTATGAAGCTGCATTATTAAGATATTATAAACGTTATTTACAAAAATTAGAAAAAATGTCCAGTGTATTAAGGAAAAAGAAGGGAGATACAAGACAAGTAGAGAAACCAGAAATTGAATTGGGCAAACTTGCAGTAATGTGTATGTGCAATCTTTTAACAACCAATCCTTACTTTAATTATTCTGTTAATATAGCAAATTTCCTTCTGCTATTTCTTGACAATAAACATGAATTTATAAGGCAAGAAGTCTTAAAATGCATTTCTCAAGTATTCAAAGAAGACAAACGTGCCGAATTATCTCTTACAGTAAGAAATTATAATGTCTATATAATCCTTTGGCAATGCAATTTTTAGAATATTACTTACAGTATTCTTAAATTTCTCAGATAGTGCGTAAATTGAACCAGTATATAAAATTAAAAGCGCATTCGGTACACTCTGAAGTTCTATCTGTATTGTTATCTCTTCGTATAAAAGATATAAATTTGGATAAAGAGAAAGAAGAAGAAACTAAACAAAAGAAGCTTATGTCTCATAAACAAAGAATTCTTGCTCTGAGCAAGAGAGAAAGAAAGAAAAGTAAAAAACTTGAGCAAGTAGAAAAAGAATTACTTGAAACCAAAGCTGAAGAGAATAAGCAGTCTAAACAAAAATTACTTACTGACATAACAAGTATAGTATTTACAATTTATTTTAGGATTTTAAAACAAGCTCCAAATAGTAAAATTTTATCTATTTGTCTGGAAGGTTTAGCAAAGTATGATAATCTTTTATTATATTTAATCAGACATTAAATTACTTTACATTTATTAACATTTAATAATTTTAGATTTGCACATTGTATAAATTTAGACTTTTACCAAGATTTAGTAACTGCTATAAACAAATTAATGGAAGATGGTAACTTAAGTCTAAGGGATCAGTTATATTGTATTCAGTGTGTATTTACAATCTTATCTGGACAAGGTTCATCGTTAAATCTTGATCCTTACAGGTTCGTATTGAAGTCAATAACTGATGCATAGAAAGAAGAACATAATTATATTTTTAATTACGCTTTACAGGTTTTATGTACATTTATATAAAGTTTTATTAAGTATTCATTGTGGCAGAACTCAGTCAGAAACAGAAATTCTTATAAAAATTTTAATTCAAGTTCTAATTCATAGAAGAAAAAGGATTACGCAAAATCGTTTAATTGCATTCATCAAACGAATAGCTATTATAGCTTTACAATCACAACATAATACAGCACTTGGCATTCTCGGTATTATAAAACAAAGCATGCAGCTTGGAAAAGCAGCAGATATTTTATTAGATACTGATTGTACTACTGGAGATGGTTTTTATCAGCCAGAATTAGAAGAACCTGAATGCTGCAATGCACATTGCACAGCCCTATGGGAGCTTTCAGCTTTGCAAGTATGTATTTAGAAATATTATAAGCAAAAGCAAGTGTTGTTAAATGTATTTTTATTTTATTTATTATTAGCGACATTATCACAGTGTTGTACAAAAGATGGCGAGAAACATATCTTGGGGAGTACCACCAAGCGGTGAAGGTTGTTTACCTACGGAAATTGCAAAATTGTAAGTTATCCAAGTTGTGTATATTTTCTGACACTTTCTAATAAAATCAATTATTTTATTTGTTTCAGTACTCCAGAAGAACTTTACACTGAATTTGATCCTACTGGTGTTGTGTTTAAACCAGCAGTACCAGTTCCCAAACAAATACATACTAAAAAGATAGCAACACCAATTCATCATTTTATAAATAGCAAATTCAAAGAATACATTAATACTATAAATAATACTGAATTATTTGCAGATGGATATATAGACTTTTATAAAGCTTATACTAATTAATATTATTTGTAACAGAAATTGCAAATATGAAATGAGTGGTACATTACCTAAATCTGTGCATACTTTGTAAATAATTGCAATTGGTTCTTACAGTTATTTTGTTAATTTAAATAGTAATAGATTTACAAAGCTACATCATTTATACTCACTTATACTGACATAGATACTGTTTTCAAATAAAAACATGAAATAATGTTTTATTGTACTTGTAAGATTTGATAGTAGAATGAATTACCTGTGATTCTTTACTACTATGCAATATATTTATAACACATTTTTATCGATGATAACAATAGAATTTCAGATAAAATAATATTACTGTTATCAATCTACATATTATATGTTTGTTGTTTACTAAAAAGCTAGAAAGAAGCAGCCATGTTTTGTTACTAACATTATAAAATTTCAACTTTTATATAATTATGTTTTTGATACACTTATACATTTTTATTCGGAATTA